GTAGTATTTCATCTCGATGTACTCTGTCTTTGATATGATTTAAATCAAATTCCTCGTCATTATAAATATCACGAATACACATCAAATAGTTTTCTGGTTACAATTTTCTAATTTCGACTATGCATAATGTATGCTTTATGCATGCGCACGTTGAAAGAAATGCTTAATAAAGTAAACAAATAAATATTAAGCCTTTTTTTTTTTTTTTTTTTTTTTGTAAATTTTGATACCCTTTAGATCATAATTGCTCTTTATTTCATAAATTACAGTTTCATCTTTTTAATTTTATAATTTCTGCATGCCATCTTACCAGACTTAAATTGATGATCTTATAATTCGGAATCCCAACGAGTACGGATTAAAGACTTTGTACTGTAGTTCAGTTGAACTTCTATTCCCTGCTCTGAAAGCCCAGTAGCTTCTACAATAATGACTGAATTAAAAATGAAATAACTTATCACCACATGGACTTGCACACAGAATTTCATGTCTCTCTTCCAGACAGCCTTTATGTGGAGAAGAATAACAGGAATTACAACATCTGTCATGCATGATCTTGTGGTGTAAAGTGGTTAGAATGCCCAGCAAGCAATTGGACAATTTCTATTTGATTCTATCAATGAAACAGTTGATTTTTCAATTTCTGTTTGAGGAACCATAGCAGAATTTAGAAGGTTATACGATACTAAATGAAAGGTTAGAGTAGATTGAAGGGTGCTCCTTGTATTATCACAAAGTTGTTGTTTCCTTTATCGCCAAGTTTTTATTTATGGTAACCTGAATAGCTGAATGTTATGGAAACCCTACTATGACATAATTGGTTGCATGATTGTGGTAAATTTTGAATTATGGGAAAAGATTTGTAAGGGCTTGTGATATGTGTTGGTTAGGAAGTACATTGCTTGTTTTGAGGTTTAGATGATAAAATGGCTGAATGAAGTAAGATTAATTTGAAGTTTCTGTATGTTTTGGAAAGAAAGGGGAAAAGAGCATTAATTGACTGGTGTGTAAATGAAGGTTTACTTAGTAGCCATTATTAAGTGTCCTGTTTATAGGAAGGAAATGCGTATGGTCGAATGTCAAATGATAACGATGCTGTGGAGGATACTTTTGAATCTTATTTTTGTTAATTTATGTGGCAACGCCAGTACAGTCAAAAGTCTTTAATCCGGACTCGTCGGGACTTCGGCGATTCCAGATTATCGGTTTTTCCAGATTATAGATCATCAGTTTAAATCTGGTAAGATGGCATGCAGAAATTATAAAATTAAAAATATGAAACCGTAATTTATGAAATAAAGAGTAATTATGATTTAAAAGGTATCAAAATTTAAAAAAAAAAAAAAAAAACTTAATATTTATTTGTTTACTTCATTAAACATTTCTTTAAATGCGCGCATGCATAAAGCATACATTACGAAAAAGTCGAAATTAGAAAATTGCAACCAGAAAACTATCTGATGTGTTTTTGTGATATTTATAATGACGAGGAAATTGATTTAAATCATATCGGAGTACATCGAGATGAAATACTACATTTAGTAAGGAATCATAAGCCAAATTAAAAAAAAAAAAAACATCTGTATTAAAGATGAGGATAGTGCTGACAGATCAACTTCCAGTTCATTGCGTGCAGTGACATCCCCCCCTGGCAGATCAACGTGAAATTGATAAACAGATTTCAGAATGATTAGAAAAACAAATCACCTCTCTGTCACTTTCTTTATGCCTTTATCCATATTTTGCAGGAATTCCACTTTTTGTTTAATGGACATCGAAACATGCTTTCGCTTTGTAGATCCTTTGGCAGCTCCAGAATCGGAAACTCTTTTTGGCATAATCACAAGTTCAAAGCTTACTTTTTATAAAATTGATCTAACAGTCTGCAAAAAATAATAAGCCGGATCCAATTAGAAGATTATGGTGCAACGCAATCTGTAACATTAACTGAAATAGATAATTAGATAATTTTAGCTTAGCTTATACCATCCGTTATACATTAAACGTGCATGCGTAAAGTTATTATTCGCATGGGTAAACGTATTATGCATTTACACATGCGCAGAAAGTTTGTAGCTTTGAGGTCCGGATTATGGACGTCTGGATTAAAAACTTTTGACTGTATACAGATTCTAGTTCAGATAATTTTAGGAAGTTTTTGGATGCTGTTAAGGAATTTTGTTTGAATGAAGACATGTTAATTTGTAAATAAGGAAGTGGATATTTCCTTTCTGCAGTGCAAAGATGAATTTCCTTTTTTATGTTATTTCATTGTTTAATTTAAAATGTAGTTTATAGAGATTATATATTTTTTGTTTGGCTCTAGTGTAGAACTGGCTGCTCCTTTGACTTTTTAAGTGAAACTAGATTGAAGTGTACATGTACAAAGTCAATGGAGTACACAATGGCAAGTTTGTGCAATTCTCTGATTTTTTTTTTAAGTGAAAATGGGTCGATGGGTACATGGATACTGTGTTTGTGCAAATCTCTGACTTGTTATTTTGGCTTTGTATAGTGGCAATTTTTGATGCAAAAAACAAAGCCAAAATAACAAGTCAAAAAGTTGCACAAACTCAGTATTCATGTACCGCCAAAAATCGCCAATTTTCACCAAAGGGAACCAACCGGTAAATATATTTTTACCAACTGAAATATATTTTTTAATATCAAAAATTCAAAATTTGTGTGCAATATGAAAAACAGGGTAGAGTAGACTTTAAGGTACCCCTTGTATTATGGCGAAATTGTTGTTTGATTTATCGCCAAGTTGTTTCATTTATGGTAGCCTGAGTTGTTGAATGTTATGGAAACCCTATTGTGACATAATCGGGTGCATGATTCTGGGAAATTTTGAATCATGGGATGTTTTGTAAGCGTTTTTGTGGTGTGTGTTGGTTTGATTCTTTAGACGGTAGAATGGCCGAATGTAGTAAGATTAATTTGAAGTTTCTAAAGAACTGGTGTGTAAATAAAGGTTTACTTAGTAGCCATTATAAGTGTCCTGTATGTAGGAAGGATATGTGTTTAGTCAAACGTAAAAACCGTTTAGATGGATTTGAATGGGTTTGTAGGAAGAAAGGTTCAGATGGTCACTATGTGAAGTGTTCGATCAGAAAGAGTACCTGGTTTGAAAAAAGTCATTTGAGTATGATTGATATTTTGATTTTTACGTGGCTCTGGGAGTACGAAGCAAACTCGAAAATCATGGTAAGTGAATATTTGGGCTAATCTTTGGAATATGGTAACAGGTAGTTTGGCGACATTTTGGTAAGGCGATAAAGGTTACTAGCTAGGACTTTAGCAGTGTACATGGATATAGTTAAAAGTGTGCGCAAAGCCATTTTTGTGCAATTCTGGGATGTTTTTTTAAGTGAAAATAGGTCGACGTGTACATGGATGATACCGTGTATGTGCTATTCGTAAAAACGCGGCAAGCAGTGGGCGATTCTGCACTTTGTCCCAATTTCGCACCTAATCTTCTTCATGATTAAGCACTTTTATTCCATAAAAGTTCTAGCATAAGTGTAATTCGGCTAGAGGATTGTTGGAAAAAAATGTTGAGTAAAAAAAAAAACCACGCCTTTACTTCGTGAAAACAAAATGCCGTCCAAACAAAAACTAGCAGGTTGCTGTAGCAGGGTTGGTCGCCAAGTTTTCGCCAAAAAATAGCCAAGTTACCATAATCCAAAGATTAACCAATATTTGCTTTTGGTAGTGCTTAAATATATAACATGTTTTTCCTTTTTTACGTTATTTTATTGTTTGGTTTAAAATGTATTTTATTGAGATTATGCATTTTTTTGTTTGCCTATATTGTAGAATTTGGTGCTCCTTTGACTTTTTAAGTGAAAATATAACGATGTGTACATGGACAAAGTAAAGGGAGTGCACAATGCAAGTTTGTGCAATTTGGGGATTTTTTTTTTTTTTTTTTTTTTTTTTTTTCCTGTGAAAATAGGTCGATGTGTACATTGATAAAGTCAAAGGAGTGCACAATGCCATTTTTGTGCAATTCGGGGATTTTTTTTAAAGTGAAAATAAGTCGATGTGTTCATGGATACCAAGTTTGTGCAATTGTTGCTTCGCAAGGCAAAATAACGAATCAAAGATTTGCACAAAATCGGTATCCATGTACCGCCAAAAATTGCCAAATTTTGCCAAGGGGTACCCTAAACTATACTTTTACCCCTTCCTTTTACAGCTAAAGAACGGGTACAATTTTTGAACACACCCCATATAAAAGAAACATCTCACATAGAAATTAGAAACATAACACTCCAGATTTTAATTCAGAAAGCTTTCACTATTGTGATCAGAAACTCTGCTTTTAAATTATATCATAAAACATATCTTTGAGTCATTTATCCAGTTATCATTACATTTTATATTTCCATATTTCAGAGATTCCCAAAATATGCATAATGAAAAATTCTGAAGTACTTTTTTTTTACCATATAATTACATATATTTACCACCAATTATGAACGAATTTATAATTACTTTTTAATAGTTAACAGTGATATATATTTATTATGACTTAATGATGGGTTTTTTTCTGAGAATCTTAATAGTTTTACACACGTGAGTCGCGATAAATCGCAGCTTAATAAACGTGGGTAAGCTAAGAAATTTGGAAAACATTGCTGACAGCTCACCACCAAATGGGCCGCAGCGGCCGCAAAATTTTGGGGTGGCAAAATTTTGAAGTAGTAGAGTTTGTATCGGGCAGTACAAAATCTAGCAGCGGCTGAGACCACCAGTTCCTTTGTAGGACATACATTCCCTGAGATCATCTAATTTATCAAAAAAGATTCACCATCAGATGCAGCGTAAATTCTAATGCAAAAATATGTGTAATATACTGAAGATGAAAACTGTTATATTCCATACACAATCGGTGTAATAAACTGAAAAATCTGCCAAAAAAAGCATAATATCTATTAACTTAAAGATCATTCAAAACTGGAAAATCTGGTCAAGAAGTTTTCATCTCAATTTACCTGCGTGATCAGTAACTGATGAATCAGGATCCGATTCGTTCAGTTTTCTTTTCACTCCTCTAACTTCACTCGATGTAGAGGAAGGCAAAGGTAAATCCAAAAAAAATTCCATATTGACATTATTCCAATCTTGTACTTTTGATTCAGGCAGAGTTGAATCTTTCTTTCTTTCTGGAGAAAATAAAAAATAAAAAAAAGATTTTTTTAACTCTGAACTCATAATTTCATTTATTTTTCATAGCACAAAAGCTTAAAATGTTGCGAATTTAAATTATAAGATGTATGTAAGTACTACCAGCACCTGGCTCAGGCAGATCCTCAAATAAATCCATCTGTAACAAATATTTACTTCTCGATAATTTGTAACAAATATGTACTTTTCGATATAAAATATCGAACAATTAAAAAATTATTAAGTCTTGCTTAATAAATAAATAATAATACGGAAAAGCCGGCAACAGATATAACAATTAAAGAATTTCTTTTGAAATACTAAATTTCGCATCCATTCGCTGACAGTCGCCAAGGCATTGGACTTATTTTCTTCCCGCAATCTGCATTCGCTCCCTCGTACACAAGCGACAAAAACTAATTACTCATATATAATACCACATATGTCATTATGTCCAATAATTACCTACTTTAGACCTGCTTGGGTACCTGCATGACCTTTTAATACCGATCTCCTCAACAGAAGCCAAAATATAATGCTAAACCAAATCACTCGAACTCGTTGGTTCATTAGGAATAATAAGATTCACGAAAGTTGGTATCAAATCCTTTCCCTTTTTCAGGATAATGACTGTTAAAATAGTCTTTAAAAATAAACATATAGTCAATAATAGCTCACTGTCAACACTTAATTATGGTTATACAAACGAAATTATTATGTCCAGGTGCCATCCCAATAGACGTCCTAGTGCAAGGTTTCTAAAATATCCTAAGTAAGGATTACTTTACTGATCCTGAAGATATTTTGATGATCTTCAAGCAAGTATCATTCTTGTTAACTTCTCATCATTCAGTACGATTTCTCTTTTTTTTTTTTTTCTTTTTTTTTAAAGCAAAGAAAAAGCTAACGCACAGGGATTGAGGGGTGTAATCGCCAGAGTATTTAAGCTAAGGCTCCAACCATTGAAACTTATTGTAAAATTTATAATTATTCACAAGTCTTAGTGATGTAGGTATAAAATACTAAATTTCAAAAATAGTTCACTACTATGATAATTCGTTAGCATGGCAAGAGTTCAAATGGTCGAGAGATGCGTGCAGATTCATTATAAGAATATTAATTTCGGGAACAGCCTTGGTGGCACCAACTTGGCTCCTTTAGGGATATGGGGGACATTTCATTATGCCAAAGGAAGTATAAAACATACATGTATGAGGAACTGTTAAAGATGGTAAAACATGAAACACAAAGTATGAGCACATAAGGTAAATGAGATAAGAACAGGCGACCGAAAAATTCATTACTATAGAATGATAAACGTTAAACAGTTATAAAAGTCACATATGAAATCTACAGATTATTAAGAATGTCCTTAGGTCTCTTTACATTTTCTGGACAGCAGTACTATAGTTATATATTGGCATAATGCTGTTATTTTTCCCGATGCTTAAATGAAAATTGTGCGCCATAAAATGATAGTATGCAAGTAGCTGGGTAATACTTAGTTCCTCGTGAAATTATTATTTTTGACATGCCATAGGAAGCGAGATATTTCTCTCAGGACACAGTTTGTAACTGTTTGTGATTGGTTCGTCAGGGTACCAGAGATGAATTCTTGCACTAGCAATTTGGCCTTTCAGGAAGCAGCAAATACACTCCTGAGACCAACCGAGCGGGCGCAGCCCTCGCTGTCCCCACCAGACCACGGCAGCACTGCTATCGGCAACCACAGAAACAAGCGAAGACTGAGTTTCCTCTAAAATGTCGTCCTGCCAGGGAGAATCGAAGGGAATCAAACCCCCAAGAACAGCCACAAATCTAACAGTGTTCCGACCCCACAGCTGAGAGGCAGACAAGAAGACAGTACCAGTACGGTCCCTGAACGATCCCTCGAATGAACGGAGGTTCTAGTCCTCTGAAGACTAATTATTATGTATGCCCAAACTTGAGGTAACAAAGCATCGGATACGAACGGAGGAGTTGCATATGAGTAATTTGTTGTCAACCGGGCAATTAAGAGGTTGAGTTTCACTTTAATAACTGATTATTAAAGTGTTTGTGTGGTGACTTTGAAAGCTTACAGCAGTGGCGTAGAGAAGGGGGAGGGTAAGGGGTATATGATGCCTCGGGCGCCGCTTGTAAAGGGGCGCCAAATAGACTCCAAACAAGAATTTCTGGAAAATTTCAATTTTTATTTTGATCGATTTCTGGAAAATATATTTAAAATTAATAATTATTGTAATATAGTTATTTATTTTCCTGATTTGTTTGGTAAAATGTGTAATAAAATTTTTGCAATACATCAACCAAATATCTCCACATACAAAACGTTCTTTCTAACCACTTTATTTCTATAAGAGATATGTTTTTATTTTTTTAAACGAAATGAACGTATAGCTCCCGCTTTTTATTTTAAACGATAACACGACCTTGTCCCGAATTTCTCAAATATATCCAGTTTCCAGAAACGAATTCACAGTCTGGAAATGACAGTTTGAGAAACTCCTAACGCTTCCACTACAATGGATTGCGTTTGACTCTTCCGCAAAAGACTGATGGCCTTCCTGGCTACCGATTCAACTCATCTTGTTGAGACATCGTATATTCACTGCTACAAAACATTCAACGCGTGTGAACTGTTTTTAATTTCCTTATACAAAAGGAATGCTGCAGGTTCCTCCTTATCTAAAAAGCATAGTTTTCGATGTCACAGACTAAATTTGCATATTCCCAACTTTGTAACCGTTATAATTTTCCTTCATAATCTCTTCTATTTCCTTTTGTTAAAAAGGTTGTCGATTATATGCTTATTACATACCGAACACACAATATCCCCTAATTGTTTTGAGTAGTAAATGTGACTGCAAAATGTTATTCCGCAGTAGAAAAGAAACGGGACCTAAAACTCCATTACAGATGTATGGATAAAATGCTTTTCCAAACCTAAGAGTCGCACTTCAAATACTCCTTACTATTTCATTATCAAATGAAATGAAATGAATCAAATGAAATTTGCTGAACGAATAAATTTTAACATATTTATAATCAACGATGGGACAAGATCCCCCAAGTCATCTAGCATTTTTAAAAGTGTGGAAATAGAAAAATGTGAAAGGATCGACTTTGATGAAGTAATTGATAAATTTGCTTCATCCGAGGCAAGAAAAATGTATACATAGTAATTAATTGTATTAATGTATTATAATATTGTATTATTATTAATAAATATATCTACTTATCTATAATATATATTAAACTTTTAATTGTTACTTTTTAAAAAAACAATTATAAAAATATGTAAAATAAATAATACTTTTTTAACTAATTCTAGATCATCATATGTCTGATTTTCCCGCCGAAACAGATCCATTTCCGAATCCAATGCTAGTGTAGTTAGGCAGTGACTATTCTTAATATATTTTAGAGCAGTTTATGGCAGATTCAGCATTTTATTATTCTCTGCATTATTTTCTTATTACGGATATATTCTATACGTTTTATTACCGTAAGTGGTTTTTTTGGGGGGAGGGGGGCACCAAAAAGGTATTTTGCCCCGGGCGCCAGTTATGCTTCCTACGCCACTGGCTTACAGTCGAGGATCCCCAGAGATAAGTGATCGCCTAGTGCAGAGAAATGTAGTTTCATGCATGCTAAGAGTAACAGTGATTTTCTTGAAGATAACTACTTTGGATATATCCACATTAATACAACTCTTGCATATTTCACTAATTAAATTTCACCGAAGAGGCATCACTTGGCCGTTTTAAGCACCTTTTTTTTTTACTTTCGATAAAACACCATAACATTTCAAGTATGTGTGCCAGTTTTTACATCTCTACCCACATTATTCAGTGAATTATTGAATTTTCGAATGTTAGCGGACATTTGGGTCACCCGGTATATTCCTACTTATACTTAAAGGCTTATCTGAACAACAGATGTTATTCTTAGTTCAGACAACACTAAATGTAATCTTTTAGATTGTGGGGTTCCACCCTTTTATCTAACAGCTTAAGTGTGGAGGAACCTAGTGAACAGCTAAGTGAATAATCGCTTAAGTTCAATAACAGAAACGTAAGGCACAAGAAGGATTAATTATCCTTTGCTCAAAATAAAGAATAACAGTCGGCCCCTTTCTCAGGATGTACAGCAAAGCCTCCACGTGGGGTTAAACTCAAAAGTGAAAGAAATAAGAACTTGACTAAAGCCTAATTCAGAAGTCAAACAACAAAAATCAGCGTTATATTTACAAAATTTTCACAGGACTAGTTTCGATGGTTTTACTGAACCAGCATCTTCAGCTGCAAAACCGCAAAGCTTAACTAAGATGTAGCCGAAGCTACCACAAATCTAACTAGTTGGCCCCTAAATATCGATAGCTAGCAAAGCTATCAACGGCCTGTAAAACGGCCGAACATAGTAACAGCTTAGAGAGACGTGGCCAAAAGGCAAACACACACTAGTCAGAAACTCTGATGCTCTCTCTCGAAGTCAGTGGAACTTAAATGCTACTCCTACTCATTTCCATTTAACACGATTCTAAAAACACATTCTGGTAGGAAATTGTAAGCTGAAATCAGGATGAATAGAAAAGGAGTTTAAAAATAATCATTAAAAACTTAGGATAAATGCTACAAGTTAATGAATATCATTTACAAAATCTATTTTTTGCACATGGAAAGAAATTTCTCCTCATCAAATCGCTCATCATGTTGCAGCGCAGCTAGCTGAAGTCTGTAGTCGTTGTCAAGTGTAATATCAGCTACACAGGTTACCAGGCTGTTTGGTATTCAATTACTACCATTTTTGAAAATAAAATATGTTATACACATTGGCTGCGTGAATCATTTCAAAAGCTGCCTTCATTAGATACTCATGTGGTGATGAAAGTAAATAATAATAATAAAGATTTGCCAGTTTGCCGGGAGGTGCAAAATCAGTGACAAACTTTGTTAGAAGTTTCCGATTTCAGATGACAAGGCAAAAGATGCCAAATTATTGATTATACAGATTTAAGTTAATATGATTGTTTCTTAAACATGAAGGTGTTTATATAGTGCCAAAGTGAAATTAAGAAGCAGGATCCTTTACATGCTTAATTATGGAGGGAAAAAAATCTGATATGGATACTACTATCTTGAACGGCTATTAAATTACGCACATTTTCTGCTGCACTTCATTAAAATTTATTTCCTCGAATTATTCTAACTTAATAATCCGATTCCTCAAGGAAAGCTGAAGTTGACATTAAAAATAGCAAATTTTTAAATTAAACATCTTGGTCAATTTTTTGTCATAAAGGAATAAAACTTCTTATATTTTTACTTTTTCATAATAAGAATAAAATTTTCTCAAATATAAATATAGGAGCTGGGAGACGGTATTAAAAGTTAAATTTCGTTTTTTGTCCAAAACTATTTTTAAATATGAAATTGCCAAAACAACATTTTCGTCATTTAAAACACTTCTATAATTAGAAGTATATGTCTATGACCAACAATTGCAAAAATAAAGACGGGGTAAGGGATCTGGGTGTATCCGTACCCCGTCACCTAATTTTGGATTCAGAAAAGTAAGGACTTTTGTGGGCGAGAGATTTCAATGTTCTTCCTCCTGATTAATTGGCATTGAAGTTGATTGAATTTCTCTTCTATTATGCTCTTTTTTCTTTAAATTTCATCAATTTTCTGAATTGGGATATTGCTTATTTGAAGTGTTTAGGTTCTGACATTTATTAAATTCTTTTTTGCATTCATAGGATTATTCGAAATTTATTACTTACGAGTTTCAATTTTTGGTTTTTGTGAAAACTGGTTCTAAATTTATAACTTTATGTCTTTACTGATATATATGTGTGCAAGATAAAAAATATAAAAGCAAACAACTAATCTTAATTGGCTATAACATCTTTTATTTAATTTGGGGACTTCATCTTGTCTTAAAAATAGCACTAAGTCTAAACTGCTTCATTCAAATTAATCATGCAATCCTACGTAACACTTAATGCAGATACCCTTTTGTCCAATCACTAAATTGTAAACCAAAACTTTTGACTCCCTCCTTCCTTCATCTGAATTACTGCTTCACTTCAACTTTTGGTACTCTGTGGATGCTTTGCTATATTCGCTTCTATCGCCATAGTATCAAAAATGTAAATTTTCTAGAAATAGGCACGATTGGAGTGACAAATGAATTGTGGCCACAAATATGAATTTAATTAAAAAAGGAAATTAATCCGGTTCGACTTGTTATTCTTTAATATGGATCAAGTATCTACACTAAACAACATTGCTACGCTTCTACATCTCAGCATTCTTACATCTCTGCTTCTATTACACACAATAAAAAGGGTGGTGGACAATTAGATGTTATAGCAAATGCTTATGCAAAATTTTAATATTCTATAATTAATCATTTTTGAGCTATGCAAGATACATATGCATGTACAGACATTACGAAAAAATAATAATTGGAATAAAGATTCCTTTATCCTTTCCATATGTACAGGTGTTACCCAGAAAAACAATCAAAATAGATAGATAGATGATGCATGTAATCATCATGTAGTCTGGATTACATGCAGACTACATGATGATGCATGTAGATTTTTTTAGATGCATGTAGTCTGGATATTATATCATTTTGAATATTGATTATCAGGATTTTAGACTTGTACTATATTATAATTCAATTTTAACCACCAGTTTGTAAAATGCTTAATGCATTGTTGAGAACCAGCTGTATCTCACTACTAATGCTACACAATTTATCTTGTAAACAGGTAATCTAATTCTACAAATTCTCTCTCTCAGAATGTTTTTTAATAGCTTTCTGTGAAGCAGTCAACATATGATACAGATTAAAACACACATGAGTGAATACAGCAGGGAATGATTGTTAAGTTTTAAAGAAGTCAAAAATCATACATAAATTTGGAACTGAACATGATACTAACACAACCCCTTGCCACAAACCTCAATGGGCTACTGCATGCATCAAATATTTTAATGCAAAATATGTATTATTCAGTATTGAATATTATTTTAGAAAACGGAATTTACTAATAATAAATATTATTGCAAGAATGAATCTGAGGGGTAGATGAAAAGAAATGATGCAGCAAAATACAGAACTTTCCAAATATAATTTTTAGTACTTACATATTAACATCTTGGCACTATTTGATGATTTTTTGCAGATAAATATGTAGAAGTTACTTATTGGGTGCAAATCAGTGGTTTTTGTGATTTTTTAAAAAGATTCCTAAACTATCCAACTTTACTCTAAGTTGGCAAACATTATGGACATAAGAAAAAATACTTGAGCAATTAAAAAAATATTATTAAATAAACATTAGGTGATACATTAAAAAACAAAATGCTTACATTCGTCTCCAAAACATTCTGCATTTCTTTTGTGGTGTTCTGCGCAATAAGTAGACAGCAATCTATTTTCACTTAAATCAGAGAAACTGCAGAGACTAGGCATCGTACAAACCTCGGTAATACCGACTATCTACCAAACGCATTTCTTCTACCAGAAATTTTGCATTAAATTCTGTATTTACGCAGAAATTTTTCTTCCATTGTGGGCAAATTCCAAGCGTGCAAATTTTAAAATTAAAATCAAGGCAAAAAATATCACAATTTGTTTATAAAAACTATGGGAAATTGGAATACAACAAAATCAGCAATACGAAAATAGCGCCACTGAAGGACTATTATGAATCTTGTTGCCACATTTTGAATCCTTGGCAACTTCTACTTTGATGGTTAGGATAATACTTAAGTACATAATCTTCCATATAAATCTGATATCGCTTCAGTGTCATGTAACTCTAGTAAAAAAATAGCATGTCATTTAATTAGTAAACTTACAACTTCAAACACAGATGCTCCTCTGCTTTAAGCTGACAAAATATATTTAGTTTAAAATAAAAATATGCTTAAAATTTGCGAGTTCTGTCATTAACTCTCTTTTTGTCACCAATTATGAAACCTAATTTCAAGAAACAAATGCATACAAATAATTAAAAATTTTATTCTGAATATCACAGAGTTATTTAGCGTTTGATAAGATACATCCACGTTACACATTATTTGCTATACAAGTGATAATTACAAAAGTAGTCTAGAAGGGAATTAGAAGTAAAAAATGTGAATCTATATTATGCAGACTGTTTAATAGTATTTTTTACCTCTAGAGGAGGAAACTAAATTACATACACATAACTGAGACAAATCAATTAGAAAAAATTATGAATTATATCTATTTTATAGCTAAAATAACAAACAGGTCATAACATGGGGATAGCAACAAATCATTAAATTTAATGAGTAAAAACCTCAGACAATATAACCTATATAAAAACTGCTACATAGACAACATCGCATGCTATATTAATTGCACAGGCACAGTACTCGAAGCATATCAGCATGAATATGTAATAATATAAGTATTTTTTTATTTTACAAAAATATATGAAAAAAGCTATGTTCCTTTAATTTCCTTGCAGTAGCCAAAATGAAGTATAAAAAATTTTCTAGCGCAATACATTTCTACTAAATATACATATTTTAAGGGAGTACATAAACACAATATAATAGATTAACACTTTGAAAATTGATATAAAAATTGGCAGAAATCATGGCACTTATTAGAAAAAGAATAATACAGGGAGAAGAAGAAACCACAGTACAATACACTTAAAAAAAACAATTCAAGACAGCAAACAATAAGCACAACATATATGTCAGATTGTACTTTCAGTTGTCTTACTCTGAAGTTTAAGTATAGGAAACAAGAAATGTTCAACTTGAGCTTATCGGACGGAAGCTTTAACTCTCAATATATACTCCCTCAGTACTAAATAGACACATTATATAATTTAAGTTAAAATTTTACAGAAATTATTTTTGAAACACTCATTTGGTAAAATATCCTATACAGTAAAATGAGATCCTTACAGTTACAGGTATCGTTAGCAAGGGAATCCAACAATAGCATGTTTCATTTTCAATTTTTTTTTTTTTTTTTTTTTTTTTTTTGTTTTGTTTTCAAGAGCATTACATTTTGAAAAATGACTACTGTACATACTCAAAATATCAGTTAATTAATATGCATGAAATACAGATAGTTCTTGCAAAATACATCTTCAAGATATAGTGAAAACTAAAGTTTCAGAAGTATTAGGTCAGAGCCAGCAGAAAACGAAAAATTTAAATCACTAAAAAAATTATGTTAAAAATGCAAACAAAACAAAATACATATAATTATAAAAGAACAAACTTATTTCTTAAAATTTTGACAGCAGTAGTTTTTATACAAAATATAGTATCAGGAAGAATTGAAATATGACTTTTCTATTACATAGAAATTTTTCTGTAACATAAATTTAATGACTAAATAAAGTTTCAATCAAATAGTAACATCTCCAAACTCTGAATTCCACTGGTTATAGAAAACAAGTGACTGTGTTGCAACACTTCTTCGAATTCTTTTGAGTGAGTCTGTGAAATCTGACATGGACACATTTCTCATCTAGAGAACAAAAGATGAGATTATAATCTGCTTTTAGGATAAAAAATAGCTACACAAATTAAACTCATTTCAAAATGGAAAATAATAATAATAATAATAATAACTGCATGTTAAAAAGGCATATTTTAGAAAACATATATTCTAATATTACAAGCTTCTGTTTGTAATATTAGAATATATATGAACTTGTACTGTTACTGCATAAACAAACTAGCATCATATGAACAAAACCATAAAAAAATGACAGTAACATTAGCTTTGGAATTAAATTCTTCAGTGATATTCAGAGAATTTTTTTATTTCATACTAATGTTCTTCTCAAGCAACATAAATGAAGAAACAACTGTCAGTTATCAGATGGATTACATATTGCAAGCAGTACTATAATAAAATGAAACATATTCTGAAATAATAATAAGCAATTAAAGGATAGATAATCTAATTAAGATTGTCTAATTTTAATAAATTAAAAAAAAACAGTGGCAGAATACAAATTTAATGACATAAATATTAATTCAAGTCATGGAATTATTATTATATTAATTCAAGTGATTCAATTAAAGTAGCTATGAAAATTATTTGATGTAATAATTTTTTTTAATTTAATCTTTTTTAAACATTCCATTACCTACATGTTTTCAAACTGCACAATTCTACTCGATAGCAAGGATTTACCTCTGTCTTATTAATGTTAACAGACTGCTATGCAATCATACATGGTATAAAGATTCTTTTCATATATGTGAAGAAATAAAATAAAAGCATTAACATTAAAAAATATTTTTACTGACAGATTCATCATAATGCACAAAACTATCATTTAATAATGAAGGACAGAAAATTAAATGTGAGAATAGGCAGGAAATAATTAGAACTTATGAGGGCCCAACCATCAAATGGAATATGACGAGTCCATGAGGTGTAAGATTTTTAATTTATAATTCATGTGGTCTAAGAAAGCCAATTCTTAAATGTGTTGCCTTTTGATATACTTTAAAGTGGTTAGTTTATCTTTCAAAATAAAATCGTATAATGCTAAAGACATGGAATTCATATAGTATATTTAATTTTTATAAACATTTACTTTATTAGTATAATCAACAAATACATCTTTAATTCTATGTACTCTAGCAAAAAATAACAGCTTCTCAAAAATGAATTTTAAACATTTTGCACATGTGAGGATATTCTCATTCACTATTCAATGTATTCTGGCAACTCAAATAATTTAATATCAAGAAAAGTACTATTTTTTTTAATAAAAAAGGAAGAGCAAAGTCTTTCTTTTTTACTTCCTTGTACGAAGTAAAAAGGAAGTATTGTAATCACGAAAAGTTTCAGGCAGCATATTTCAACGAAAATATCCATTTTGACCGCTATCGAATGCAATTTAACGATGTTTTTGTGTGATATCTGTATGTAAGGACAGAATAAAATACTCTTTTCCTTAAAAAAAAAAAAAAAAATATCTATATATATATATAATATATATAAAAAACTGCTTTAAAATGAATTCTGAAGAGAATTTTTCGTGGCCTCTGTACAAACGTATGTATGTACCTTGCATAAATTAAAAACAAGTAGCCTCAGAACGTTGAAATTTTGTATATAGGACTGCTATAACATGTAGACGTGCACCTTGTATTTTGGTTGCAATTGGCCGCACCAAACATATATAAATATATTTATATATATATCCACTCTGTTAGCCGGCTCAGTGATCTCAGTTTCTTTACTCTTATATGTTGGTAAATTGTACATTTTTTGCTTTAAAAATGATTGAATTATGTTGTCTTTATCTTCCGGTTAAGGATTTTATGCGTTTAGTAAATCTGTGTGCAATATTTTTAGAATTATCAGAATTTTAAAATTGTTTAATTGTCGCTAAGCCATTTTTAATGGCGACCATTGATGTTTACATTTGAAACAGGAGACTAGTGGATTTGTTGTCAATCTAGAGAAACTTAGCTTCGCAACAACAAAGATAATGCCTTCATTTATTATTTAAATCATGCTTAATCCTTTCTGGAATTTTTTCGAGGAAATAAGCGTTTAAGATTTACTTCGTAATTTTTATTATAGATATTTTGAGTTTTTATGTATTTGTGCCTTCTCGCGAAGTGAGAACTGAATTAATTAAATGAGAAATACTCAATCGTCTGTGAAAAACTGTTTCTTTTTTGTTTTGTTTGATTAATTTCTTTTATACATCATTCTAGCTTGATTACAGTATTTGAATAGAACATGTGGCAACGATTAGATAATTCTATTCTTTAAATGATATAAATTTTGTGCATTATGAGTTATAATATGAACGAAATATATACGTTAACTGTTATATAATTATTGGATTATATAACAGTTAACTTAGTTTCCGTTATATAATTATTATATAAGTTAACTGTTATATAATTATTAATACTGTTAAGTGAATCTAGCGCCAGAGTGTCGCTATGGTAAACAAATACTAGAGTGAATTTTAAAGAATGCATTTATTCTATTCTGGTTTATGTGCTGTCAGCGAAGTAGATTTAATTCAATCCAATAAGTTTAAATGAAATGCAAGAAAAAATGCGTATAATTTAATATTCCAATACAAGGAAGGCATGTGGTGTACACATCAGATTTTTTTAATTAAGGAAAAACTTTGAACTGCTGTTGCTTCTCAATGGTAAAACAAATTATAATTTTTTTTTTTAATTAACCAATATGGAATGTAAGTTATAAAAAATGATGATGAAATAATGTCCTTTAAGAGATCTAATAAACTATCAAATTTCAACTATTTATATTGCACAAAAGATCTAGCAATACATGGAAAACATAAATTAGTTCTAGCTTGAAGAATTCTTAGGCAAATTATTCATATGGATATTTTATATATAAATGGTTTAAAATTAAACTAACATCCTTTTGGGATAGTTCATTTTCCACAGTATTTGAGACTCCTAACAATAGCCAACAAAAACTACAGAGCTTATCTAGAAAACAAATATCAATAAAAATGAAAGTGACAAATTTTTTAAATCTTCAGTGGAGTTTCAATTGATTTAATTACACTGACAATTCCTCTTTATATTTAACATAAAGACATATAAGGCATAAATCACATATCATACATAAGTGAATATATTTGAAGAAGAAATGAAACAAATAATTATAACAACAGAAAATGTGGAATTACACTTGCATAATGATTTTATTTTGCTTATTATTTCCAGAAAAATGTTTAAAAGTGAGGTACAGGAGTTGGATAAAAATATGGAAATGCCTCGTAATCTAAAATCTATCTGAAATGAAATGTTTATTCTTGTAAAAGTTGCTGTTGCTGCTGATGTGTTTGCTCACTCAATGGTACGTGTACAAGATCCTCAATATGTTGCATCATTTGTTATTGAGACAATGTTTGATGCAGTTGTGAGTGCAAGACGTTAGAGCTAAATGAATTCGAATGAGGGCAGATTGTTGGAACTCATATGCTTCCATAACAAAGATAGCTGAAAATGGACAAAAATGTGTGTTGAGTGATCATGACAGATGATAATTGAAAAAGGATTATGATGAAAAATAAGAAGACTATAGCTGCAAAAGTGACTGCTGAATTGAATACCATACTCACAAACCCTATCTGCACCAAAAACAATACGAAGGGAGTTTCATAAGCAGGATATTTTGGGGTGAGATGCAATTCAAAAGCCACTCATCAGTGATCAAAATCCCTGTACAAGGAGAAAGTGGCGCCAAAAATTATAAAGCCTGAGGAATACAACCTTTAATGGAAGGCTGTCATTTGTGTGGATGAGTCTTGCACGTCTCACTGTTTCCGACTTATGGAAGAGTTTACCTCTGGTGAACGCTGTCTCAGAGACTGTTTGCTGCCGAAAGTGAAACATGAAAGATTCGTCAAAATCATAAAAAACAACCTTATATTTAGCGTAGGTATAATGAAACACTCAATCGATTTCGAGGGCAGCTAAAGGTCCCTCCTCATCAGGAGAAAGAAATACATAGAAAGAAGGAAATAGGAATCACAGCACGTGGTGCTTATCAGCACTGCACGTGGTTATAACTAGACCTTTTAATCAGAGTTGCACTGGCCGCCTACTTTTACTGAGCCAGGCTGTCTGATACTGGTATTCCATGCGACTCCTCATTATGCAAGGTCACATTCCAGCCAAGGATTATGTGACCATTCTGGCTGATCACGTCCATCCCATGGAACAAATTTTGCTCCCAATGGTGAATCCATATTCCATGATGACAGAGCTCCTTTTCACTCAGCTCAGACCATCCAGGACTAGTTTTCCGAGCAGCAGGGTAAACTTTTACATTTACCATGGCCAGCACAGTCACCAGATATCAATATTATTGAGCCTTTGTGGCTATTTTACAGAATAATCTGCATGAGTGCTATCCACCGCCATCATCGTTAACTGAACTGGTCAACGTTTTACAGTATGAATGGTACAAGATTCCCTTGCAAAGGATACAAGATCTCTATTTATCTAGTCAGGGAAAACTACAAGTTGCCAATGATTTTCCTGCATCATATAGTCACAGCAATCTGTTTTTTTTTTTTTTTTTCAGCGTTTAAATAGTTTGGTCCAACCTCTGTAACAGGGTTAATTTATGAAGCTAACTTAAATATATCACAATCCTGATAATTTGTAACTGCTTGTAATATATACTCACATGTAAATAAATAAAATAAATGCATGTGATGTAACTAAAAATTTAAAAGAATGTAAAAATTTTCAATTGGAGAGAAGTTTGCACGAGTGCTTTCCACTGCCATCAACATTAACTGAACTTGTTAACGTTTTACAGGATGAATGGTACAAGATTCCATTGCAAAGTATACAAGACCACTATTTATCCATTCCAAGAAGACTACAAGCTGTTTTGAATGCCAATGGTTTTCCTACACCATATTAGTGATATCAATCTATTTTTATTTCAGTATTTCCATATTTTTGTCCAACATCTGTAACAGGGTTACTTCATGAAGCTAACTTAAATATACTACAATCCTGATAATCTGCAAGTGCTTGTAATATGTGCTAAAATGTAAACAAATCAGATTAAAAAAAACTTAAAAAATTTCAATTTTCAGAAAATTTAGAAGGGCAAATCTATGACAATGCTTTCTTTTAAGTATACGTAAATAAACATTTTAATAAAATACATTATATTTATAATATAATTTGATTGAAAAAGAAAATTTATATGATTACTAAAGTGATTTGGCATTTTGTGTGCATGTGTAGTTATTTTTTTATAGCATACACAGACCTCGAATTCTGCAGATTTTTCGTTTTAGTTAAATACTTACTTTTCAGAGTATATTCTACTCTCTTTTAAAATTAATTTTGAGTTCATGTTGTTAATACATAAGAAGAATTACTTTTTACACAAATCTTCGATAAGCTCAAACTTAAATGTACTATTAATCCTCCTTATAGCCAATTTGATCACATATCACACAATTTAAAAACAGATTTTAAAAATAGCATTTGTAAATATATTTTGGCATCAAAAATGGAAATCATGCTAATGAAAAGAAAAATTTTCTTCTGTTCATCACTTTTTGCGTACTGCTAGGAAAGCTATACATCCAAATGCACATATGTAGAATGTAAGAGCAGAATTAGTGTGAGGATTCAATTTAGAGAAAACAACTTCTGTGATTTTTGTAAACAGCAGATACTTAATCATATTTTCCTCTTGTTTAAACAAAACTTTCTTGTAAACTTAATACATACAGAAGGACATAAGAGAAAAAGACATATGAAACTTCTGATAAATAGAAATTTAAACTGTTAGTTTTTTGAGTAAAACAGCTTGTTATAAACACACCACAGGAAAGCTATAATTATCTTTTAGTTTTCTTATTAAGTGATCATATGCTCTAGAGAAATTGAAAGAAAGTTACCTCTCTGGGATCTACTAATTTAACTTCTTCAGGTTTCAATTCTATAAAAAAATACAAATTAATTTATACTGTTCATTATATGCATTAAATCTGATAGTTATTTAAAATATTAAAAATTAAAATTATCATATTATAAAAAATGTCAAGTTTCATTAAAAAGATCCAACATAGAATAAAAACATTAAAATAAGAACTAGATAAATTAGCAATGCATACATTTCAGACTATAGCAAGCTTTCTGCAAGCAGAAAACAGGTTTCTGTTTATCAAACTGGATACCTAATAATAATTAATAACATAACTGTATAACTGGTTAAAGACGGAAGAAAATTGCAACAACAACATGTAAAACTAATAAAAGCATTTCATATATTTTATTAATTAATATATATGAACTACAGACACAGTTAATTGTTGGTTTAATCAGCATGTAATTTTAATAAAAGAAAAAGATAAATATATTCAATTTTGTTTATTTATGTAACTTTATTATAAAAAATTTGATATAGACACAAGACTTCCTTGTATGGAATATTAAATTATACACATTTTTTGCTGCATTTCATTTAAACTTATTTCCTCGAATTTCATTAGATATATTTCTCATTCAATAAATTGTCTTCAATTTGCAGCAAGGCAAAAATACATAAAATCTCAAAAATCAGAGAAGCCCATTACGGCAAAAGCAGGAGGAGAAAGCAAATACAAAAATTAAAGTCAAAGGTCTTAAATAATAGAATTGTGATAAAAGGATTAATAAGAAAGCATATTCATAAAAAAAGCTGTTTGTTTCCAGCAACTTATGAATGATTACCCTAATCTGTAATGAAGCAAGTGATATCTATTAAATAATAGCAGATAAAATACTTTGTTTAAAAGAATACGCAGATAGAGTGAAACCACAAATGTTGGAAATTTAAGGTAGAATAGTCTGGCAGATTGGTTCATGAGAAACCACACATATTATTCATAAATAATTTAAAATTAGAAAGATTTTATTGATAATAACAAAGTAGTAGTTAAAATTATGCATAATAAGAGAAGCGTGCTTTTAGGGCATGCAGTTCATGCCTATAAAAGAGTCATTAGTTTTAACTAAACCATACATAAAAATCCTTATCAATTATTTTAAATAAAGCTTTATAATGAATCATGGATTTTATTTAGAATCAGGAGTTTAAAACGAGAAGGCTTGCATGCACATGTCTTCTTTCTGCCCCTAAAAGACTGCATGTTATCAAGTTACAACACTGGTAGATGAAATTACAGGGAAAAAGGACTTTTCCATCTCCCTTTTTCTATATTTCTGATAGCATATTTCATGCTTATTAGCTGCTTCATTATTTCATGCTTATGCTTAGTGCATGAATTTGCTTTATTACATGCAGCTCAAAAAGTGTTTGTCATCTAAAACATCACCATCTCAAAAAGTGTTTGCACTGAATTATTACAACTCATATGCTTTTTTAGGTAAGACAAAGGTAAGTTTCCTTCTTTAAGGTTTACACCATACTGTACATTTAGTTTACAAAAGCTTATTTCTGTTTATTTGTTTTCAAAATTACATATGATGTATTAAATTTTAAAATTAAATGTAATATCTTTGAAAAGAAATTTGAAGAACAACTGAAATTGAAACATACGTCTCTTTTGTCCTGGTCAAGTTTTAACTATTGCAATAATAAATGCATGGACTAAGGATATATTCAGTTATTTCAGTGCACTATTAGTGCTTATTTTAAGGTATAAAAAATCTTGTTATAATCAGGGCTTAAATTGAGCTGGACAATAGTTCTGGTACATCTCACTTTTGAGCGAGATCGTAATTCCAGTTAGAGTACATAGAAGCTTTAAATAAGATGGACTTTGGTACTTTGTAGTGAAATTGAAATGCAACATTAACAAAAAATTATGCTTAATACAACATTTTATTTAACGGTTAGCAAAACTGCTATTGCTATTAGACAACAAATGCTTAAATTTCCCAAGCATGAGCAAAATGGGAAAACTTGAACATGTGATTAAGAAATTTCTCCATGTCAAAATGTGATCTTATCAGGAAGGGCTATACTTATATAGTCAAATAGACCAGGGGTCGGCAACCTTTTGAGTCTGAAGAGTCAAAAATGACAATTTACAAAATTTCAAAGTTTTTAAAGAGTCCACCAAATTTTTTCTTCTCAATAATACCATAAATAAAGTTTTTTGATAAACAAAAACTAATCTATTTATTCATAAGAAAAAAATATCTATTCATAAGAAAAAATATCTATTTATTCATATATAAATAGTGTTTTTCACAACAAATTAGCTGATATATATATATGGCATTATTAGATAATTACTTATTATTTAAGTAAAAATTAAAACAGTTAAACATTTACTTACAACTCTAACTTAAATCTAACTCTCAATTAAAAAAAAAAAAAAAAAAAAAAAAAAAAAAAAAACAATCGATCAAACAAATTTAATGGCAGCGTTGGCTTTGCATGGTTTTAGAAACTTTGGATAAATTTAGCTCACAACTTCTTGTTTTAAGTTTCAAACACGGCTCTAAATTTTTATTTGTTAATTGGCTTCTTACTGTACTTTTGAATTATATTCATGCAAGAGAATGCTTGCTCGGCACGGAATATGTCGAATCAGAAGATAGTCAGCACTCCAAATGCCAACTTCTTCACCTCACTGTAGCAATCTGGAAGACTATTCCATGCGTCAAATATAAGGCGGCATTTCTTTTAAAGCTGCCAACTTTTGTTGCATTACGTACATTCATTTTTAGACCTCCAACTCTTCCAACTTGCTTTTCAACTCTGTAAATTTTCCACTCCACAAAGCTTTACTTTTTAAATCGATCAATTGCATTTCTAGAGATTCAGTATCAATTCCAAATGACTCAGTGTGGATTTCGTTACTATTTGTATTGAGAGGGTTACTATGAATGCTAGAGTGGTTTTGTTGGTTTTGAATTACTCAAATCTGTCAGAAAATTCATCTTTATTTTTTTTGTAACTGTGCTGAAGTAATTCGTGTCAACGGGTGCATTGGTTTTATCGCGATAGTGCTTTAGACATTGAAAATGAAGTAATTTACCACTCTGAATATCTTCTGCAAAAAGGAATTATTTTTTTTCAAAACAAACCTATACTTCTTAACATAGGCTGGGTTTCCCTTTCCTTGCAATTTTAGATTCAGCTCATTTAATTTCGCTATGACATCCACCATAAAGTAAAATTTGTGCAACCATTTGTCGTTCTCTAATTCAGGGTGATTAATGCCTTTTTCATTTAGGAATGTATTTATTTCATTCAAACACAAAGCAGAATGTTTCAACACTTTCATTTGGAAAGCCATCGCACTTTATTGTGAAGAAGGAGGTCGGAAGGAAGTCCGTTTAAGAATTCTTTAAACTGACAATGGTACAGTGCTTTTGACAAGATGCTGTTAACAATCTTGATTACCAAATTCATGACCTCAACTATTTCAGGCAGAAATGTTTGGGCACAAAGCACTTCTTGGTGTATTATGCAGTGAAACGTAACACTTTCATGGTTTGTTTTGCTCTGAAGAATTGTTGTTGCCCCTTTATTTTTTTTTTATGTCATACTTCTGGCTCCATCAGTTGCTATTGAAACGATTTTATTTAAATCGATCTTATTGTCTTCTAGGCATTTTTGCACGCATTCGCTATATCTTCTCTTTTGTTCCGAGAGCAGTAGCAATCCCATAAGTTCTTCTTTTGGATCTTGTGAAGACATATACCTGACAAAAAGGGCAACTTGTGCTGTGTCTTTTTTGTCGCAAGTCTCACCTATAGCAAATGATAAAGGCAGAAGAAAGCTGAATATCTTCCACCCGCAAATATGTTACATTTGAAGACATTTTAGGTATTCTATGTTTTAGCGGATAGTGGCAAATCTTTGATTTTTTTTCAAGACTTCTGGTTTGTTTTTGAAATCACAAAACAGTTCTTCAGATGCACGTATGAAGCAATCTCTGACATACTCACCATCTGTGATTGGTTTGCCTTTTTTTTTTGCAATTTCTAATGATACCACGAAGCTTGCCAGATTAACATTACTTGTAGATTGCTTCCAGTTACTTAACATGGAACTTGATTGCTGTTTTTGTTTTTGGGAGCTCGTCGACAGCTTTCTTTCGTTCTTCGCCGGCTGGATATTTACTAGCAAACTGAGTATGTTTTTTAGTGAAGTGTCTCTAAAAATTTGATTTCTTATTGTGTGCGAGTTTTCGAGGCAAATGAGACGTGTCGGAAGGCCATTTGAGTTGCATATGAAAGCGAACGACTGCGTCCAATCCCGATTGAATTCTCAATGCTCTTCTTCAGTTCTCTGTTTTTTTTTTTTTTTGGATAAAATAAATAGTATTTGCGTATGGAACTAAAGAGCCGCAGGTTGCCGACCCCTGAAATAGACCAATCAAATCGAGTCAAATGAAGTCAACGGATCAGATGCAGAAATAAACTGCTATTTGATCTGAATGCAAAGAATGATGATAAAAATACCTACATTCCTTCTATCCTCAGTATCATGTTTTATTTCAATAAATTTACTCATTTCATTTCCTTTACTCCTATCTCCCTTAACTTTTATGATAGTTTAAATACTACAGAAAACCCTTGCCAAGTGCAGATTTGGGAATTGCAATTTAGTGCAGTTTTATTTAATAGTTTTCATTTGATTTAATACTTGAATTTCATTCATACACAGTTCAATGTTCATTCCTCAGCATTTAATATTTACTGGCATCAGCTATGACTAGAAATTATCAACAGTTTTAAAGGATTTCTTTGCAAAAGCAATCTGTAGCAAAAAATATTCAAATGTGGAAAAAGGAGATGTCAAAGAATTAATATTCCCCCCCCCTAACTTCATCTAACATACTTTTCATTAACGATTACCATATTACTGGCTTGATGCATAAGTCCATGTTGTTCTTTGTGTTGGCAACACTGCATTGTTAAGCCTATGTTTTATATTATACAATTGTTTCTCTTCTGTTTGGAGTTTGATTATTGAAAACATTACCTTGTATGTCGTTAACAGCTCATTTGGGCCATTTTCAATGCTAATCAGTATGGGGTGTCAAGTAGAGAAAAATGAACTCTTCCAACACATCTATCACCCTTTCTGATTATCATCTTTTTTGGTCTATCTCTAACAACGTTCAGAGACAACAGCTTCACGATGAAGCTTTTCCTACCACTAATAGATTTCTTCAACTCGAAACCACAACAGTTTTATAGAACAGGCACTGAACTCCTACCTGAATGCTAACAGCCTGTTACTGACAAACACGGTGATTACATCACTAAGTGAATGAGCGAGTGATTATTGATTTATGATGGAGGATATCAATGTCTTGTTACTGTGAATTGTATTGCAGTGTATTTTATTTTATACCAATAAAATTATACCATGATAAAATTAGAAATCCAATGAAGAATGGAATGGACTTATGCACTGACTCACTATTCGGAATAAAATCAAATGACAATGCAGAAATTTCAATTTTAAAGATACATGATAACCAGCTTCTGAAAACCTTTCAATAATTTCTAAACTAGGCATATCTATAATATGTAGTTTTGTTATTTCCACAGAATTTTTGCATAATATTCCTGAATGACTGCTAATTCCTGAATGACCCTTTTCTAATTTAAAAAATACATTTTCAAAACTGTTATTCTGCATGACCATATGGGCTGAAAAACTTATTTATTTTAGCATCTAATGAAGAGACAATAGAAGATAAATCTAAATGTTTCATTGCTATTTTTATAAAACTTTCATTAATCACAATCTGATACAGAGTAGAATGTCTGATGGTGTTATAAAAGATTTGTTTGCAACATTCTTAACATTGGTCATCAGAGTTGTGACAGCCACTTTCTGATTACACTACTGTTCCCATTATAATTAGGTCCTGACAGTGGACAAGTGGCACTGGATGGTGGAAGCTTGACTTGGAATTTAATCCCAGGCTGCATAGTAGGTTTTCCCCATACATAACATGAATACAAGCCATTTTTTCTTAGAAGTCCTCCACGAAGACATGCCTTCCCTTACGCAGATAGCACTCACATGCACTGGTTTGTAATTAAGTTTCAAAGAGAAAAATCATCCTGTTTAGTCTATTAACCACCAATAGAACACAGAACAAATGATTGGTGTTTTTACCGCTTTGTTTTAGCCACTTGGCCATTAGAAGCAATAAATAATTATGAAAAAGTGAAGAATTTTACTGCATCAATATCTGGAGCTTGAGATGAATTTAAATATGCTCCAAACGTTGAACAGTTTAATTAAATATTTTGAGCAAAAACAAAAAGCTCCCATTAAATATACAACTTAAAGCAGAGAAACAGCTACTTATAATAAACCAAAAGATACACAAAGCAACTAAAACCTTAAGATCATAAAAGGAAAAATGCAGTCTTAAAAAATTATGAATGCATAGCCTGCAGTCCACCCATATATCTAATTTTGTATTATTGACCTACAGTTTTACATTATTGAAAACTGTGAACAACTAAACATTTTTGCGATTTAAAAAGATATGAAAAAAATTATTTGAATTATAATAATATATGAACAAGTATTGCACTTAACTAAAAAACAATAAACAGAAAATACTTAAAAAAAAAAAGTAGACCTTTTAGAATTCCAGCTAAGGGAAGGTGGAAGAAAGACAGATATTCTCTTTAATATAATTAAAAAAAAATCTACCTTATTACTACTGAAAAATCTTTAATACAATTAATCACTTATTTACATCCTGTAGGCTGTATGCTTTTAGAACTCAGAATATGGCCCCTCTTTTTATTAATATATATATATGTACCCCTATCACTAAATTTATGAAAAATTATTTTCAGGCTTGTTTAAAATGAATTAGAAGGAAAAAATACTTATGCAATTAATTCATTTTCACAATTAATAAAATTCAGTCAAATTATTTTTAACAGCACATTTCTCTATAATTTAATACAGAGAAATAAGTAGTAAAAATTACAAATATACTTCAAAAGGAAGAAAAAAAAAAAGTCAAACCTCTAATTGGTCCCAGAGCTGCATCTTTTGCTAGAGCAGTCAAATCACTACCAGAGTAACCTTCAGTTAATCTGAAATGAAACTGCATTATCATTCTGAAATAAAATATAATATAATGGACATTCAAGATACCAATTTTAATCAACATTTAATCTTCTAAAAGTAATAAAATTAGTTAGAAATTAACATTAAAATTACAGTGAATTATTCTCTTTCCCCAATAGAATCATTAAGAGAAAATTTATTTTCGGTATTTGAAATTTTTTACTTACTTTGCAAGATTCTTGATATCACTTTTAGATAAAGAATTTTCTTGTTTAGCAAGTAATTTTTCTAACAATTTAATACGAGTTTCTTTACTTGGTAGAGTTACATAAACACGCTTTGTAAATCTCCTATAAAGTGAAAACGTAAAAATTAGGAATATTTTACAAATAGTAAACAATTTAAAAATATATAAAATTATTAAAAATAAAAGAAAGTTACTCAATGTAGAAAGGGATATTGAAATGATTCTTGATCATACTCTGGGCATGAAAAAACAAAAAGCAATGACATTATGGGAATTCGTTGAATTAGTTTCTTCATCTTTCTTATTTTTTCTTCACTGAATTTATTTCTGAAATTTTACTTTCAGTGAAGTTCATATCAGGATTACTTCCAGGCCAAGTTAGTATGTGGAAGCCTTTAGTAATAAAATAATTTTTCAGAATGATGGATGTAGGGCAAGGAGCATTCTCTTGTCAAAAAATTGTACAAAACCATGCATTAAGCTGAGGAAAGAAATGTTTCTTCCGAGATCTTGCATTTTTATGAATTTATATTTTCTTTAATTAGTTCAACATGTCTCATACTATAAACAAATATAGTGCTCCAAATCATTAAAGTGAAGGATGCTTTACTTTAAGTTTTTCTATTTGAGCTTTTAAATGATTTTAGTAAAATAACAGTGCAAAAATAAACAATCTAAAGACTAAAACAAATACACATAACTCACAAGAAAAATAGAAAACTGAAATAAATGAATAAATCCAAATATTAAATTTATTATACCAGTGAAGTAATAAAATATATGTTACACAAAGATAACCTTTCTAAAAGAGAAAAAGGGCACAGAAGTTTTTTTTTAACAAATGTTGGGCACTTGCCTATAACGGCATTGGCCACTCCTAAGGCCAGAAGTGGTGACCATTTTATTATGGAGGAATCTAATACGTGGCCACCGTTACCTCCTATGAAGGGACAGACAGTTTTACATCCATGCCTTCTCTGGGATTCGAACCCGGATGACCTTTGGCATCGCAGTCAAGCTCCCCTAACCACCATACTGTCGGCAGGGCACAAAAGTTATTTAAAGTAAACATTTAAAAAAAGTGATTCTCAATTATTTTCCCCCATGCACTCTTTTCACCATAGCCAAATGATCATTCTCCCGCTTCCTTTCCCAAACTCAAAAACACATATACATTTATTTAGACTTAAGACTATTTTTTTAATGTGTTTCATAACTCAAACAAGAAAAAGTGTAGAAAACAATCATAAATACCAAAGCTTGAATAAATGTATTTTTTTATATTTATAAACTGAACTACTACTTAATTGGTAAATCATCCCCCCCCCCCAGAACTTACCCCTTATAATCATTAGCTTACCTCATCCCCCCTAGAACTATGGAACCTCTGGATTAAAAACATGTTGCCATTTCCATTTGTTAAATAATAAGCAACAAATAAAATTCATTTAAAAAATTCATCTGCTGAAATAGAATGCAGATGAAAAAACTTAGTAAATTATGTATATTTGGTACAAGAGGAAAAAATCCTGATATTCTGTACAGGAATGTTGTTTTAATGTTTATTCATAAAGGAAATTTGCAAAAACAAGAAATTCATTTTTAAAAAATCCATTTTTTAAAAACTGTATATGTGAAAATTTAAAATTATAGGATTAAAAATATTAATTTTAAATATATATGATATTCTCAAATGAAAATTCTTGTTTTCCAAGATTATAATTACCTAAGAGCAGCATCATCTAATTCTTGAGGTCTGTTTGTGGCACCCATTACAAGAACACGTTCATCTCCATCAGAACGAAGCTACAGGGTGCAAAACATTTTTAATGTTGAGTTGATCGAATACTATTTAAATAATGCATTTAAATTCCATAATTAATTTTAATTATTTAATTATATCTGGTATTTTTTAAAATATGATAAATAATTGAAAGTTTTTTAATGAATTTTAAACATATAAAAAATTATCAGGGGAAAGAGACCAAATTTTAGCAATAATTAAGTCTTTAACCCTCTGGCTGCTCATCCTGCGGGCATGTGTTTTTCTTCTTTTATTAAGGAGTGCATCCCGCTTTCCCCCGTTTAACCATTGAAATAAATTATATACAGTATTAGATGTTTTGGCCAACAGATATCATTAGTTGTTTACTAAATTGCGGCATTTGAAGGCACGGGGTATTACCGCTCAAACTTCACTTTTTGCCGTTTTTTTCTTACAGAAATGGCTGCTAGAAAATGTTCAGCGATTATCTTGATTATTTAATTAAATTAGATTTATTGAATCTGGCACAAAGACTGTGAAGCTGGACTTTGCCTTGAATCCTGTTTTGAACTCTCAGTGCTTTATATTCACCTTCAAATTCCTCAGTGCTTTATATTTTCTTACATTTTATACAATTTGCTTTTTTATATTATGCAATAAATAGATAAATATAAATTAACTGTAATTCGACTGAAATTTATTAAAAAAAGTTTTTTTTTTGGTGATAACATCTGAAATTGGTTTTTCTGGCAACTTTAATATTTCATGATAAAAATCTATATAAAAAGTATTTTCTAGAAAGAAAAATTTCATTTTCCCATTCTCCAATATATATAGATTTAAAATATGGGGGGGGGGGTTGAGGCGCTTTTGGTCCAAAAATTGAGCAGTCAGAGGGCTAATACTATAAACAGCTAAGAAAAAAAAAAAAAAAAAAAAAAAGAGAAGAATTAATTTCATATATTGCTTATTTCTAATTAAAAATAACTGCTTTCATGAATGTTTGCATTATTTTCTTCATGCTTAATTTAATTAACCCCTTCGAGCTGGGTAGCGAAAACGTGCGCTTATCGCGGAGGCCGGCAGTGTCTTCCGCGAGCGTCTCTCCAGAGCCGGGGGCTTTTTTGCAACTAAGCCTAAATCCATGAAATTTCCGAAGTATCAACGCATTGTTTAATAATGCTCTATAGAGTATTTAAACGGTTATGCTTTATAGATATTTTTATATATATACTTTAATTACCTTATTTCTTGTTTAAATGCATATTTTACACATTTTATTTTAATTACTCACATTTTATGACTTTTAACATTATACATCTGAAAACTAAATATATTACTTAAAATTCTCTTTTCGTATGAAAAATTTGAAAACAGGGATCTACACACAGTCCTACGTTGCATTCCTTGAACTCGTAATAACACATTTGCTGTTTTGGAGGATTTTTCCGGGAATGTGAACAAACGAAGCATCGTCGTCTCATTTTCTTATCAGTCTCTTCTGAACAAAGTATTGGAAAATCTCTTTCAGTTAATCTTTCAGAATCAATATCTGAAATATTTTGCATCATTTCTGCTATTTCATGCTCTGTTAAACCATTTCGACGCTTCGACATTGAAACGGTAAAAACAGAAAAAACAGAAAGAATTCACGTCTAACAAGATCTAGTTATTTTCTAAAAACTGAACTGTAAACGAAAATACTCAACGCTTTAGCGCATATAAAACTTCTACTTACAATAAACAACTACCACGTGCGAATAAAGTGCGATTTAAAGAGACGTCATAAATCACGCCATTCGGAAACATTTAGTTCCCTGTTTGTTTATATAATCAAAAACACGTGTATGTGAGTCATGCTTCTCTCATTTCGAGCAGAAGGTCTAATGTACATGTATCTGAAACCATATGGACATACAGTGCCATCTTGTGGCAGAAATTATAGTTTGAAAAACGTTCCAAGGTACTGGCACAAATATGTGACAGTAGGTAGAGAACGCAACAATGCTCCGGCACGCCTGCGTGTCGGCCGGTAAATAAGTGTGTTCGTTGCTGGCACGTGTACGTGACAGTCAGCGCGAAGGGGTTAAGAGCCAGTGTGCTTAAAAATGCCCACAATAAAAGCATATTTAGTAATATTTATTGCATAATTTCAGATTTAGTGATTAATTCTCATATCTTGAGACAACTAATATCTTCAATATGACTTACAGAGATTTTACAAAAAGTTACTTCACTTAAATAACTGATAGAAATCTATAAGTTTCCCGCCACCGCTATTATTGTCTGCTCAGACAGTGCGTGTTGGCATGCTTAATGATAGTTTGTCAAACGATTTTGCCATTTGAAAGAAAGAGACTTGCTTTAGAACACTGTGTGAAATTTGTAAAAAATTATCCTTAAGTATAAGGTGTTTGAAAGGGGACTACCACGCTACCAGATTAGAACCATTATTTAATTCCAGTTCTGTTGCAAAAAGTCAGCTACAGAATGTCACCAAATTATGTATACAGCTTTAAGTGCTATGACATTGTGAAGGCTTAGGCAATAATTCAAAAACAAGGACTATATCATTCAAGAAGCAGAGCGCTCTGGCTGGCCTACTAATGCTGATGATGCTCACCTATGAGAACTTGTGGAAGATCAGCACGCAATCACTCGAGAGCTTGCTAGAGAATTAGATGTTAGTGCCATGTCCATCAGTTGCACTATCCATCGCATAAACTTGACGTACAAGTTCAATCGCTGAATGCCGTATGTGCTGACTCAAGCGAATAAGGACAAATGTGTTCGAGGTGTGTGCTAATCTGCTCGAATAGGAACACAAAGACAAAATTCTGGACCAGATTGTCACTTGTGATGAAAAATGGATTTAGTTCAACAACACAGGTCAAAAGATGGTTGGTCTGTGCCTGGATTTAACTCGCCTGTTATCGCAAAGTGCAATTTGACTAATAAAAAAGATCATGCTTTGTATCGGGTGGGATTGCCAAGGTATTATTCAGAAAAGGTAAAACCCTCGACAGTTTCCTTGATGATGCTGCTATCAAGGAAAAACATCGAACTGAGATACGGGGCAAAAAAGTAATGTGCCATCAAGATAATGCAAGATCACATATGTCTGATTCACCGGCCGGACTTGAACGGGATCTTTTGCTACACCCACCATATAGCCCTGACATCGCTCCTTTTGACTTCTACATTTTTTCACACCTGCAGCTTGCTGTGCTATCTTCCATTCTGCATAGGATGTTCGAAATGAGGTTAATATGTTTTTGGACTTGCGGCCCAGAAGTTTCAAGGCTGAAGGTTTTGAAAAACTACCAAAATGTTGGTAGAAAATCATAGATTTGGGTTGTGATCACTACCTGCACTAGAGGTACTGCTTTAATATTTCCCCCTTACCTTTATGAAGAACATTTTTGGTGGAAAAACATTCATTACAACCAGCTATTATCAACTATTGGAGTAATAGCAAAAATACGAAATAAATTTATTCACGAAAAGTATTATGAAATAAAACAGAAATTTCTCATATAAGGTAGAAAATCAAGAATTTGGAATTTCTGTATGCTAGTAAAACCTAATATTTTCCACAGATGAAATCTGTTAAAACTGTATGCTAGTTTTCCTTGATATATCAAATTTTTTAACTTGGAAATATTTAATAAAAGCTTTTCCAAATAATACTGAAATTCTTCATGAATATCCCTAAAAGATAGAAATTTAGAATTCGTTTAGCATCTGTATTTATTGAAATTATGTGATTTTATAAGACTAGATAAAATTTCTGAAGCATTTAAGAAATACAACAAATCTTGGTGGGGGATGAAATGAAGCAATGTGATATATTCACTTCAACATATATATATACACACAGAGAGAGATGCATATCAAATTGAATCAAGTCCCCCTTTTACGTATAATTTGTCAAAAGATTCATTAACTTGAATTTTTAATTAATCTAATTTTTTCTTTCTGCTTCTTTCAGCTTCAGCTAACTAGTTTTCCTGTACATATCAAAAGATTAAAAATTAACAATTTTATAAGACTTTTAATCAAACTTTAAGATGCAGTTAACAAATAAGGGGGGAAAAGCACATCAGGTGGAAAAAAAATTTACATGTTGCTCTTTAACATAAAACATTTTTTGAAATTAACTTCAAATCATTTCTATAAGAATTCCAACATACTCCATCAAATTCCACTAAAAATTCTGTTTTTAATCTACGACTAGCTTCATGTTCATTTTCTTTTCTTTCATTCAATAAGGAGTCAACTTCATCTGCAAAAAATTTGGTACAAATTGTTATCAAACAAACAATAACAAGCAGTTTAAATACAAGTTTTTATTGTTTATAAATGTACAGTTTTCCTGTGAAACTATCAGCCAAAGTGACTTAAGCATTATCATAAATATACATGGGAGAAATGAGAGGGAGAAAATCATGATCAAATCATATAAACTGCACATAAATTTCATCATACATACTACACATAACAGGGAAAAAAAAGGGGAAGTGACATGCTAAACACAAAATCTATTTAAATAGAAATGATACTCATAATGTAATTTCCTTCAGATTTGACTCTACTGAAAAACAATGTTGGTGACAATAATGACTAGAAGTTAAAATAAATTGTTTAAGATCTGGTAGTGGGAGATGCAAGGTGTAGGTTACAGTGTGAGAAAGATTTAAGGCCATCTAATAAATATCTTTCTCCCTTTTCTTGTTCCTATGCCTATATGCCCTGATATCAAGTCAACATTTGTCATGGAAAACTACCAAAACTGATATGAAAGTCTTGAAATATGAGAGTATACTTGATTACCAACACTGGCATATATGTTTTCCTCTTGCACACTTCAGCTTTTTCTGCTAAAAATCTGAAAAATTGCTTTTAAATTATATTTTCTAACATCTTATTTTTATGTAATCACAGCATAAAGAAAAAGCCGAAATATAGTTTTACCTTTAAGAAAAAACAATAACAATCTGATTTTTTTCATATCCAAAATAGCTAAAGTAAGTCTGTTGTAAATGAAACATTTGTAAAGCAGGTGACACCCATATAATTTAATGATCCAATTTCAAAAATTAATGAAACAATTAGGTTAGGTTATTTGAATATGGCAAAGAACACAAGGATTATCTGCTTAAGGGGAAGTATGCTTCATAAGGACTTTTTAAGGGAATTAGAATTATTAGCATAAGGGAAACTAACTTGATTCCATTATACATGGGGGAAAAAAACCTAAAACCAACCCTGCAGCCAGCCTGTTCACCTGGTATCGAACCCAAATCCAACTTTTAGCATTTAGCTGTCTTAACCACTCAGCTCCTGGTTGGGCAAAACAATTCAGAATACCCATCAGTGGTTTTTGAATTATTGGTACAAATCATATCATCAAATAAATTTCATAATTTCATCCACCATATTTAACCCTTCCACCGATCAAGCTATGTATATGCATTCAACTGTATTTACGATTAAAAAACATCATTCTCAATGATATTTAATACTGCTATTTAATTATTTCCTACAAGATGGTCACTTGTAGATTTTCTTAGATGACCACAAGGTGGTCATCTAAGAAATGGCTTTTGTGAAATATACATTTTACACTGTTTTTTGTTATATATAATACTGTGCTATTTTAGATGATACATAAAGAAAGATTCTGTTCATTATTAATTCAATTAACTTTTAAATACTACATTAAAGATAATGCTTGATAAATTATAATAATCCTTCTCACTTATTTTAAAATAATTTTTTCTGATACATAAATTATTTTTTGATGTACAGATTTATTCAGTGCTTTTTAAAACAACAAAAATACTAAGATTAAAACACGTAATTAATAAGCAGAACAAAGTTTGATGGAGTTTAGCACATGGGTTTTCATTTAATAATAATAAAGAAAACAAGAGGAAGGAAGAAAAGAAAGAGAGAACAAAAAGAAGAATGAAGCAGATGATGTAAATTTCTTCAGGTGCAAACTTTTTCACACACAGCTAAAATATTAGCATAGATCTTTAAATGAGAATAAGTGCTCACACAATTTTTATAAAATTTGGTGTTTGGGCTCAATTTGAAGTGTAGAATCATCCCATGAAGGAAGGAAAAATCAGCATTCATTTCAGAAAATGTCAAATTTTGTGTCAGAAACCACAAGAACAATGCTATATTATATAACACTGCACTTACAAAGTTTTATAACTTTTTGCAATAAATTCAAGCACACTTGCTAAACAATAATTGACAGCATTTATTACAACAACATTTCAACTTGCTTTTCCTAAAATTTCATCACATTGTTGACAGTTTTCCATGCAATTAAATCACTTCCTTTAGAACATCTATTCTTATGGATTTGAAAGCTTAGCAAAGAACAGCAATGCAGTTTATCTGTAAAAAGAAAATAACTGAAACATGTGAAGCATACGGGATAAAACATTAACATGATTTAATGCTTTACATAGATATGAATGATTTTTGTGATGTATGAGAAGATACTGATGATGAACCCAGGAGGGGTCATGTTTTGCAATCTGAGTAGTTTTAAACTAATAATTATAAAGAATTTTGTTAATATCCATATTGTCTACAAGCATCTTTATAGCCATCAAAATCCTCTGGAGCATCATCTTTTACTCATTTAAGCAAGGTTTCACTACTTACACATAGCCTCACATACTATCTAAACATTGAAAAGTATTCAACTTATTCAACACACATTATGATGGTAATAGAACCATTAGAGGGGAATATTTTCAGAAAACAAGATAAATTCATTTACCTATGAATATAATTGTTGGTTGAAGCTCCCTGGCAACAGCAAACAAGGCACGGACAAGTTTTTCCCCTTCTCCAACCTAAGGAATTGTCAAAATTTTAAATATACGTTCAAAATGAAAACAAAAGCAGTATAAATTAGACAATTACTTACATATTTTGAAGTTAAAGAGGCAGCGCTAATGTTAAAAAAAGTAGAATTTGATTCACAAGCAACAGCTTTTGCCTACAATTAAAATTAATGCACAAAAATTCCATATTAATAGCTTGTTCATATTGGAAAAATGAAACATATTTTTGATACATATTGAAGAAATAAAATGTTACTTACTAGCATGGTTTTTCCATTCCCAGGAGGACCAAACAGCAAAAGGCCTTTAGGTGGTGTTCTGAGACCAGTAAATAACTAAGGTACAAAAAGATTTCCAAATTGAACAATAAATCATATTAAGAAAACAAGTCATATTAAGATTGCATAAAAAGAAAACAATTAAGGATCTAAAAATTAAAAGCTATAAAAAGAATGATATTCCAGCTTAAAGATATATACGCCGTAAAGGAAATTAAAAGAAATAAATAACACACTTAAAAAAATATTCATTTAATAAAATTAATTAATAATGCATGTTTTAGTCTAACAAAGTATTTTAACTGGACAGCAGAGTAAGACTCTTTAAATATAAAATAATTATTTTCCATAGTATTCTTTATTTATATTATATAATTTACAACTTGCATACTACTCAGAAAAAAATCCATCTCCAAAATATTTATTAATTAAAAAAATTACCTCTGGACGAACAGTAGGCAAGATAACCATTTCATGTAAAGCCTGTTTCGCGTTCCTGTTTCCAATTTCTGCTAAATATTTAAAAAAAAAGCAATCAAAATTTTATAGTTACAAGATCTTTGCAATATAAGAATTTTACTTTGCAATTTAAGCATTATACTAATTCAGAAGTCTTTGCAAACAAATAGTCTTTAAATATGCACTTTATAACATGCTTTATACTTTCAGAAGTTTCAACGTATACGCTGATTTTTTGTTGTTTGACTTCTGAATTAGTATTTATTCGGCGTGTTATTGTGTCTTAAGCATTAGCTATATGAAATAATACACACATAACTTGTACATTTCACACGTTTAGTTTTAGAAGTTCAAATTTACATACTAATTTACTTCAAATACAATGCAAATATACATATTTCACATGTTAGTCTATATAGCATAGAATATTTTAATAAATGACAGTGGCTGAGAAGCAAAAATACGCTTATCCTAAACAGAAATTAGAAAACACTGTAGAACATTAACAACTGCTAAAATACATTCTGAATCCTCAAATTACATTTTTAGGTATATATTCTTGATCTTCCTGATTTGTACTATTTTTACTTGAAAGCAAGATCACCCTCACTCATATTTTAGAATAAATTTTAATATGTAAAAATGCAAGTGAATGTCTGTATATATGGTTTTGATTATAATGAAAGGTATGCACTCCAATTAAATAAGGAATTTTACCAAACTAAAAAGAGAAAAATTTAAAAAGTCAGCAATACATTGTTACCTATTAATTTTCAAGTGTGCTAATGACCAATACAGTGGATACAGACCTAACGGTCTAAGAGCTCAGCAAGAAGAGTCTAGTACAATTAGTGGTAGTTATGCAATTCACATGCACTAGGCCTAACACCATGGTTTATGTAATCATACTTATACAGTACAATAATTAAAGCCTTCTCTCATTCTGCAATTTTATTTATCAAGATACTTAATTGTAAAACCCTATCAAATTTAAAACAAAAACTATATTCGAGTAAATACAATACTTAAAATATATATATAAGTAGTATGAACTTTCCATTTGCGAATACAAGTTATTATTACTTGCGCAATTGCTGCAAAGTTAGTTAATAATAATTTATTTCCTAAACAATATTGATTATATTATCTCCTAAGTTTAATTAAAGTAGAATTATTTTAAAAGTGTGCATCCATACTGGTAAGTTATATTTTGAAAGATGTTTTGAAGTAATTTGAAAGCAAAATGTTAATAATGTTTTAACGGGGACTGGAGTTAAATCATCACGAAGAATAATATTACAATTGTAAAAGTAAAAATTAAAACATGTAATTATTGTCATTGATCGGAAATTAGTTGACTTTTCAAGGGGAACAAACCAACTCCCGTTCAAATGATCAATAATTGATAGAAATATACGTAAATATGAAAGTGTTTCGTCTTTACTCGAGTTATAAGTTAAAGCCAAACCGGCAATTCTAGTCAGGCCAAATATTTCCGCGAATAGTTGTTACTCAAAGAACTGATTCTCATGAAGCATTTTAGTCAATTCAATTTGGAGTAAAAATCAATTACTGTAGAGAAAATCTTGTAAAACTCGAGTAATCGTCCCCGACACTATCATCTTTATGTATTTGAGTACTATATTATTTGTAGAAATTAAACATTGGAAATTGTCATTATGAAATCGAAATCAAAGTAAAGTTGAAATAACATAGAAGATTATAAAAAAGATAAATAATGCAAACTTTGCAAAAACAAATCAAAGAGAACATAAAAATAATATAAAAATAAAATATAGAAAAAATATATAAATAAGATCAGTGAATGTACATGAAGATATAAAGGCCAGAAAGGTATTAAGTAACTTACATTCTTTCTAGTGGGGGAGTTGGCAGTGTGTTCTCTTCGTGTCTGACTCAGAAGTGTAGGGTGTCCGAAAATTCTTAGCGGCAGTAGGGGCTTTGAATTATATCAGTCGTCGTAAGACTTGGGTGAAGAAATTTATGGTAGTGGGTGGGACTTGGAATTCTTGAGGGATGTATTTTGTGGAGTTCTTATCTGAGAGAGACCGTCTGTTAAGATTTTTTTAAAAATACTAGTGAATGGAAATTAATTAATTTCTGGCTAATTGTCGTGTCGCAATGATTAAGAATTTAAGAAAGGAAAAAGGCATTTTCGCTATCCAAGAGCTAGTAGACAGTCTAAAGGCAGGAAATAGGCCCATTTTTTTTAGTAACAGTATATGTCTGAAGACAATTAGCTTTTTACAATATATACAATTGAGTAATTACACTATATACAAATCTTTCAACTGACAGTCATCCAACTTATACCGCCTTTCAGGAATAAATTTTAGGAATTTATATCATATCCCTATCAGTTAAATGATTTAGAGTGAGTATTTAACGCCTGCTCTTTTAAGGCAATGGTTGATAAATTGAAAGGGAATTAGATTATTTTTGAGAATTTTGATAAGGATCAAAATTTCGCGTTGTAAATCTATTGTATCTGTGCATATAGTTTTAATTCGTTGTATTTGATTAATTATAGTATTGTTAATTACTTTTTTGGATATGTTGGAGTTCCAATTTATTAATTTGTTAGTATTGAAATTGAAGTTTCTTGTTTTGTCAAAAAGTAAAATTTTTTTGTAGTTAATGATTTGAAGATCTAGAAAGTCTATGCTATTTTGTGAATTATTAGTTTTATTAAGTTTAAGACAATTCGGATAAATGTCGGAGTTTTTCAATTTTACCAAAATTATTAATTGTAATAAGGTCATCAATAAATCTGTAGGTGTGTTTGTAGTAATTTAACTCTTGTGGTTGTAGATTTTTTTGGAAGTTAAATTCTTTGACAAATAAAAAGATATTACAGATCGAGGTGCTGGAATGTAAGCCCATTGGCAATCCTCTGACTTGTTTAAAAAGTTGATTTTGAAACTTGATGTAGTTATGAAAAAGTGTGCATTTTAGGTAGGTTTTCCATTTGTCAAGAGTCATGATATTGAGTATATTAGGGAAAAGTTTTGGTAGATCAAGTAGACTGGTATAGATTTCTTCTAGAGGAAGTGAGGTATATAAGTTTTCAAAATCATAGCAGTTAATGTTTTGGATGTTAATGGTATGAATGGTATTAATGACAGGAGTGTTATTATGAATGATCCAGCAATAGTTATGATTAGTGTTACAATCATTGAAAATAAATTTACAGATTTTATTAAGTTGAATTGAAAAATAATAGTCTATATTTTTCTTGTAATTATTAGTTCCATTAGCTATAAATCTAAATTTTAATGGTGTTTTATGGAATTTGGGAATCGCATAAAGATTAGTAAATCTGTTGTAGTTTGCATTGAAAGTAATATTGAGTTTCTTATGAAAAGTTTTAATCCTGTTTATTATAGATGTTTCTGTAAGGTTGGCTGATTGATAAGTAGTTGCGTTGAGAAGTTCTTTATGAATAATCTCAGTGTAGAATTGTTTTCATATAATGCTAAAGTTATTAGTTGCTTTATCTATTTTTGTAATAGTAAAAAGCTGTTTTAATTTACTAATATCAGATGTAAGTTGCGACCAGTTCAGTGTACTTTTAAATTTGAGGTGACTGATTTCTGTGGATATGCGTTGAAGAATTTTAGCTTTCCATTTTAAGAAGGTATCTATGGGAAAATTCAGTTGATAGCTTGCTTTAACTATAAATTCGTTGATGTTGTTGTAACAGTAATTTGTAGTCATGTTTCTGACTGGTCTAAATTTTGTACCATAACTCATTAGTGTTTTTAGTTGATGGTTTTGTATGATATTCAGGTTGCCAGTAATTATGTGCTGGTGATGAGAATCTACGTAATTGCTGTAAATTGGTGTCTTACAATGTCATTCTGCAGTTTCATCTATTTCATGGTGGTTAGTAAGCAAGTTGCTTAAGGTCCTTTGATATTTAAATGCAATCATTGGTATAGTGTCAACTGCGGGGAAGTAATCTTTACAATCTCTGATGATTCTTGAGAAATGAATATTGTCAAACTGCGGATGCAGAAAATTGACTTTAAAATAAATTTTGCGTTGAGTGAGACTATTAGAGAGTCTGAAAAGACTAAAATCAAGAATCATGTCTTTAATGATTTGTATGTCGTCGTAGCTTTCTTGAATGAATTTTTTTAGTTTGATAAGGAATTTATTAGTACAGGAGTGTAACCAGTTGAGAAGTTTCTTGGGAAAACAGTCTGAGTCAAAAAAACATTTCAATTGTTTTTTCAATGCAAGTGTATCCAAAGTGGATAAAAATCTCGCATTATTTTTTATTTTGCTTCCTCTTTTTCCTCTCTGCGTTTTGATGCTGTAGAGTTTAAATTGGCTGAAAATAGACTTCTTAGAAGTATCTCTATGACTATGTATATAAGTGTTAAGTCCATATGGATAAAGTGAACGTTGTTTTAGTATATAGAGATTCCTAAAAAATTCGTGTTTTGTGATTGGGTATTATATCTAGTATCTGAAGTTGAATAGAGTTGAAGTCATGGTGTTTAAAGTGTTCTAATTCTGCTGTATTAAGTTGTGATGGTGTACTTATTTTAATGTTATTTTTTTGTGCGTTGAATTTTTTGATTTGAGCTCTATGGTTATTGATTCGAAAGTTAAGATTGTTTTTAGTCTGTCCTATATATTTAATATGTCAAGTACCGCATGTAATCATGTAAATACAGTTAAATGTTTTTCATAGAAATTGTTTTTTGGGTTTACCTGTAGCAGGCATGGCGTTAAATTTTCAAGTTTGTCATCTAGTGGAATGACATTTAGTGATTTCAATATGAGTTAAACTAGCAAGATATAAAAGTAAGGAGGCTGCTAACCTTCAATACAGTAAAGTTTTTGTATAAGAACTTTAAAACTTAAAAAGGTTGGAGATAATATATAAAGTGGGTACATTAGGTAAGAGATAAATAGCGCTAATAGCTGCTATTTAGCATATCAAATGTTGTATGAACTTAAATCCATTTAGTGCGAATACAAGTTATTATTACTTGCGCAATTGCTGCAAAGTTAGTTAATAATAATTTATTTCCTAAACAATATTGATTATATTATCTCCTAAGTTTAATTAAAGTAGAATTATTTTAAAAGTGTGCATCCATACTGGTAAGTTATATTTTGAAAGATGTTTTGAAGTAATTTGAAAGCAAAATGTTAATAATGTTTTAACGGGGACTGGAGTTAAATCATCACGAAGAATAATATTACAATTGTAAAAGTAAAAATTAAAACATGTAATTATTGTCATTGATCGGAAATTAGTTGACTTTTCAAGGGGAACAAACCAACTCCCGTTCAATGATCAATAATTGATAGAAATACGTAAATATGAAAGTGTTTCGTCTTTACTCGAGTTATAAGTTAAAGCCAAACCGGCAATTCTAGTCAGGCCAAATATTTCACTCCAAATTGAATTGACTAAAATGCTTCATGAGAATCAGTTCTTTGAGTAACACTATTCGCGGAAATATTTCACTCCAAATTGAATTGACTAAAATGCTTCATGAGAATCAGTTCTTTGAGTAACAACTATTCGCGGAAATATTTGGCCTGACTAGAATTGCCGGTTTGGCTTTAACTTATAACTCGAGTAAAGACGAAACACTTTCATATTTACGTATTTCTATCAATTATTGATCATTGAACGGGAGTTGGTTTGTTCCCCTTGAAAAGTCAATTTCCGATCAATGACAATAATTACATGTTTTAATTTTTACTTTTACAATTGTAATATTATTCTTCATGATGATTTAACTCCAGTCCCCGTTAAAACATTATTAACATTTTGCTTTCAAATTACTTCAAAACATCTTTCAAAATATAACTTACCAGTATGGATGCACACTTTTAAAATACTTCTACTTTAATTAAACTTAGGAGATAATATAATCAATTAATCAATACTGTTTAGGAAATAAATTATATATATATATATATAGCTAGGCCTATGCAAGTAGTACAAAACCAATTTTTTTGTTTGATGCCAGCTTAAAATTATAGATATTGTGATACTGTACTCTATACCAATTTATGCAACCAAATGTTATGATGGAACTACTAGTAAATGATAATACTTGAATATGTTTTTCAGATTCCTCCCAGTTCTATATGAAGACATCTTAGAAATCTTGAATATTTATAATTATAATGCTATAATTAAAGCAATTTGTTGTGATACATTTCTCTAATATAAATGAAAATAATAACAAATTTTGTCATTCATTACAATTTATAGCACAATGATGCTAACAGGACTCTTAAAATACAAAAGGACAAATTTGAATAATATTAAGTTTACCTCATTTCTAATTCCTACACATAATAACTTTACCAGCAAAGAGATATAAAAGATATCAGAAGCACTGAATGATAAATAAGTCACAGGAAGAAACTATTTTTTCTCTCAGTTCTTATAACATGTAATTTGACTAAAACATTGCTTTCTGAATTTTGACATCAGAGGAACAAATAAGCAAAAAGCTTTGTTAGAAATCACTATAGCATCATAAATGCAAGTTTAACCCAAAAGAATCCCTGCATATGCAATCTATTATTTAAAAGTAAAATATAACTGTTAACTGTTTGGAACAAAAAATATTTTATATTGGGGGGGGGAAGAGATAAAATTGGTTGACTGCTTGATCTACCTTGTTACTTTTTCTTCAAAAAGGAGTGATATATTATTATCATTACAAAACATTATATCTTAATCATAATCTTAACTCCACATTTGCTCTAGAGGAGGAATGAATGTTAATATTTTGACACCACATTAATATACAGTCAAAAGTCGTTAATCCGGACTCGTCGGGACTTCGGCGATTCCGGATTATAGATCATCAGTTTAAATCTTGTAAGATGGCATGCAGAAATTCTAAAATTAAAAATATGACGCCATAATTTATGAAATAAAGAACAATTATGATCTAAAGGGTATCAAAATAAAATTAAAAAAAAAAAAAGCTTAATATTTATTTGTTTACTTTATTAAACATTTCTTTCAATGTAAGTTGTTTAAGTTGCTTCGTTTTATGTGATAATACTTTCTCTTTAATTCTATAAACAGACATAATTTTTTGTTCAGTTACAAAGTTCCGCTGTTCAAGTCCCGTTAATTGCTGTGCCGAGAATACCGACTAACTTGTCAATCGAAATGTTTTCGTTTTCAATAACCTCTCTGTCACATTCTTCATGTCTTTATCCATTTTTTGCAGCAATTCCACTTTTTGTTTGTTGGACATCGAAACATGCTTTCATTTTGTAGATCCTTTGGAAGTTCCAGCATCGGAAATTCTATTTGACATAATCGAAAGTTCAAGTTTACTTTTATAAAATTGCTCTTACAGTCTGAAAATATACCGTCCGTTATACATTAAAAGCGCAGGCGAAAACGTAGTCTGCACACGCATATGCGCAGTAGTCAAGGTCTTACGTGAACGCGTAAAACGCCTGTGCGCATTTGCCAACGCGGCGCATGCGCAGAAAGTTTTTAGCTTTGAGGTCCGGATTATAGATCATTCCGGATTATGGGTGTCCGAATTAACGACTTTTGACTGTATTTTATTTATAGGATACTGAACAGTTATTCAGTTTGAGAACTTAACAGATATTCATATTAAGAAAAAGAGGTCAAGAAGAAAAAAACTGATTAAAAAAAGTTCTAGTCCTTGATGTATTTGGAATGTCTCCAGATTTATAATAAAACATGATAATAGTTGCTGCCAATTTACACAATTTGACAGGCTTCAAATTCAGAATTTTATATTTTTGTATCACACACAAAGCGGACATACCAATATCATCAAAAGTAACACCTGGCCCACCATCCACAATTTCATCCATGATTACTTGAGTTAGTTTGGAATCCACACCTTTCAGGCTCAAAATTTTATTTAATTTTTGAAGTCTTGATTGGACAGGAAGCACATTTCTTGCTTGATTATCTTTCCTCTAAATTCAAAAGCAAAGATAAAAGAATTTAGAACAAATAATTATAATACTCTAACAGATTAAAATAAATATACTGGGTTATCCAGAAAGTTGTATGTGTGTGTTTTTTAAGATAAATACAAATAATGCAGTTAAAAAATATAAGTAAATAATATACGGTACTTTTCCGTTTTGCCGGCGCAAACGATAAAGTCGCCAATAATGGTACAACTGATGCCAAACGGAATATCTTCGCTGGTAATCTTTTACGCTTCATTTTCAAAACAAGTCGCAGCCATTTCTTATCATATTGATTGTTTCTTTCAATATTGGCATACAATTACCTAGAATTTTTACAAAATAGTTACATTTTATGCCCTAAGACCATTCGCAGTAATTAAGTCAATTAGGATGCAATCGCACCGCTCACCGGAAGGCAAAAATATAGAAAAGGCAAAGTCAAGGGTAAAATTATTAAATTCTAATGAGAATGCCCTAGTGAAGTAAAGCACTGCGGTTTTACATAATTTCTGCGTAAGCTATTCGTACGAATTGAAATAATTCTTGCATTTAAACTTGTATTCTATATTAAGATTTAACTTGAAATTAATGTAGATAATTACTGAGAGAATTATATTTTTGTAGCGTAGTTTACGCGAGATGAAATCAAATGGGGTAACGTGATAAGAACCGGCGAATCAGGATGTTGAATTATGAGAGCATACTAAATTCTTAAATTAATGTCTTTTTACAAATTTATTGGCTTTTTGCAAAATTTTAAATCATATTAAAATCAAACCATATCAAAATAAAAAATCTTAGAACTAACATTTGTTAAAATTTTTTATGTGTACACTGTCGCCAACAAAGTCTGCTTGGCGAGATTTGCGCAGGCGAAACGGAAAAGTACCTAATATACATAAGCACCAATTTTTCTATACATTTTTGCCATCTCTTAAGAATTCATCTCTTAGAAAAGTCAGGTTTATTTATAAAGAAGCTATTGAGGTGATGTTTAACAGTCTTCAAGCAACTTAACTTCAGGGCATTCAAAAAATTTGAAGTGACCTAAAGAGATAAAAATCCCAGCCATCAAGATGAGATAAAAATACAGGGTGACACAAAAATCCAATCCTACTCAATAAATCTTTGACTGATATTCATCAAAGTTTGGGGAACTGCACTGTCATGATGGAAGACAACACCTTGATGAGTGGCCAATTCTGGGTGTTTTGCTTTGATTCCCATTTTAAAACTGTCAGTTGATTCTGTACTTATTGTCTGACCTGGTGGCAACATATCATGGTGTATAATTACTTTGCAGTCCCCCCTATACATAAAATATTACATTTTTTGGGTGCAGTCCCCCTTCGATGTTGTAGAAGGTTCTTTTGGCTTACCACATCTTTTCCTTTAACATAATTGCGCAGGATTCACTTCTCATCTCCATAATGAGCCATTTCAAAGAACAAGATATTTTATTTCTTTTCAGCAAAGAATCACTGAGACTTAAGTAAGTATACTCTGCTTCATTAAAATATGACATACCCATACTGTAGTATTTTACATGCCCAATCTTCTTCAAATGATCATACACTATACTTTTTGGAATATTTAATTTGTCCAGTAGTTCTTCAACTGTATAAAATGGACTTTCAGTGACAACTTCTTTTAATATGTCCTTGTTTTCAGAGGAGGATTATCAAGAGTAGGCATCATTTTCAAGTCTAAAATTTCCATACTTCAACTTTTCAATTAACCTCTGCAATGACTCTTCGAAACAGCACTTTGTCCACTTATACCATAAATTTTGCAAGCAGTCTTACTAACATTTTTTTTTCCCCTTTTTTAAAATAAAAGAGAATAATATAACAAAAATGAAGTCATAGCTCTTCAGTCATAGTACTGCAGTGAAACAAAAAATTATGTAGCCATACATGGTTAATACATTTGAGTTATACAACATGAGCAGAAAAGACCATATTTAAACATCCACTTCTATCGAAGTTTTTCTTTATCAACGGTAACAAATAATTAGAAGAAAATGTGCTCTGATTTGAAAAAACTTAAAACTTTTCAAATGATTCAATATTATAAAAATCACATCTACAATTATATATCTTCAGCATACTTTAATAAAAGGAATGGAAATACGTACGATTAAGAATTTGCAAATTTAAATCCTAGCTTTGATTAGAGGTTATCTATTTAATCTGCCTATTTTCCCTTCCATAATATAATAGCATGCTTATAATAAATTTTACTAATCATTTCAAAATTTATCTATGTTACATGACTGTTATGAAAAGGTTAGTGATGCAGCAAGTACTTAAATAATGCTTCAAGCAATACTAATATTAAAATTTGTATATTAAAAATCTAATAATCAGCCAACAGGATGAAGTTAAACCCAAAGGCTATTGCTCTTAACCTCTGGAATATAATCTGTATGTTTCCACTGCAGTACTCTGTTCTGCTAGCTTGTGATTACCTGCTACCTTTCTTAAAAGCATATTACAAAAATGAAAAATAAATATAAATGTATTTGTTGAACATTGGGCCCAGTCTATCGTTGTTTATCAAATATGTTTTATCAGGAATAAAAGGAGTGTTCAACCAGCTATCTCTGTTACTAGCATCTTTATGAATAGTTTCTTAATTATGCATCTACATCAATCCATATCAAAATTTTGATATCTTTTTTTTTTTGAAGCCAAAATTTATAGAAAAATACACAGTACAGAAACAAGTTTTCAACACACATTCACAGAATTATACATCTTGTTGTAAGTGAAGTAGTGGATAACATTTCAACAGCATGGAAAAAGCAGAGAAGAAATACACGGATTGCAATATGGGTGTCTGCAAATTTTCACTTTTATTTTATTTTGAATAGCTGGTAAAAAGTTTGATTTGCCCATTTTAATATTATTATTGGCTGAAACACTACGATCATGTGTCGGTACATAAGCCATGGCAGTTATAGGTGAATCATATGACAAGGATTAATTTTGAAATGGTACAGTCTAGAGCAACTTATTATAACTCATTACTATTTATAAGATAAAAAGAAGAAAAGATCAAAATACAAAGAAGATGTTTCAAATTAAAGTGAGAATTTTATTTTACGTAATCTTGATTTTATGCACAAACACCCACGCGAATAACAAATATTTATATATTTTTATCCTGCCATCTCTTGTAAAGCATTCAATTTAATTCATCCAAGTAGAATTTAAAGCTTAAGTCTAATTGAAGGGCTTAATTAAATCAAACCCTTCAAAAATATAAAATTCAGAAAAAATAAATGATTATGCAAAAATACATTATGTTAAAAGTGAGAGAAATTTAATAGTTTAAAGCTTATTAATTACATAATTTGCCGATATAAGCAGATTTATACATCAGTAAATGAATCAAGTTGAATTTACTAAAATATCCTGTATATGTATCCAAAGGAAAATATATATATATATATATACACACAGGATATTTTAGCAGAGAGACTTATTAACCTGGACTATAATTGAGGATCATAGTCTGAACTAATGGAAGTCTGAATTAAATACATAACCTAAAAAATATGTCAAGGCATTAATAATCATAAATTGCATGTCTATGAACACATAAGAAAAAACCATCCATGGAGACAACCCACTCACCGAGATTCGATCCCTCTGTCAAGCAGGCAGTTTTTATAGTTTTAAATATGTAAATAATTTAAAATTTTTCATACAAGGCTTTATTTACATGCATACTTGCCAACCTATGACACTCAAAAATCAGGAGATTTTTCCTAATGTTAAAAAAGACTTTTTAAATGATAAAAATATAGTTTTTAATATTGAATTAACATTAAATAGTTACAATTCTTAAATGCAAGCAACACAAAAATACCTTACATAGAAAAAAAAATGTTTATTACTTGCATTGTTTAAGGAAAAAAAAAAAAAAGACACTTTAATCAGTTTTCGTACAAATGTTATGAACACTCGCAGATTTTGCTTTCGTTAAGAAAGAAACTTCATAATTTTGTTCATAGAAATTGCCACGTAAGCTTGCTTTCGCTAATAAAAGTTTTTCTAATGTGTCATCACTAATATTAGATCTAAATTTAGTCCTCGTTTTCATAACAACACTGAAAATCCTCTCACACTTCGCATTACTATGGAGAACTGTCAAGATGGCCAATATATTTCTAGACAGTTCACTACATTTTGAAATTCCATAAGCACCTTTCAGTTTTCCAATTAAACTTCACTGGGTGTTAATCCTAGCTGATTGTATAACTTCATCCAAGTTTTCTAATTGTAAACTGCAAAATTGCGACTGCAATATTATCAGTGGCAACATCAATATCATCACCTTTCATGACTAAATGAAGTAACACAGGAAATCTGTTCAAAAAGTACCTTATATCAGAAAAAGATGCATTTGCTAAAGCAGAAACATTAGCAACTTTAGCATGCAAAATCACTTCATCGTTGACTGAATTTATGTAGTATGTAGTCACATACTCGACAGAAGTAACTTCTAACATGAAGATAAAACTTATTTTTGCCTTCTTCTGAAAGTTCTTCCAGTACTTTTGTAGTTGCAGCTCCTATTACCAAATCTTCATCTTTCTTCTGATTTTCTATTTCATCATAAATCACATCATTTGTAGAATTACAAGACAAAACACAGACTGGTTTTACAAACTTTGATAAAATGTCTTTAAACAGATCATAAATCGTTGATTGAAAAACATCAATTAATAGAATTCTGCTTTGTAGAACTGTATTAAGAACATCAAAAGATGGCAAAATGAATTGGGGAGAAAAAAAAAAAAAAAGCTTTGTTAAGGTCCGAAGAAAAAAACTTAAATATTTGTTCTTCACAAGACAAACTTACCGCAATCGGAAAATGTTTCGTGTGTTGAGCAATTTTTTTTATTTTGAGAGAAATTTGTATCAGCTTTACGCTTATATTTTGCGGTATTATTTTGAGATCTGCCAGTTGAATTGCTGAATGGTGCAGAA